ACAGCATCAGACATCTTCCCCAGTCAATCACCTCCATGCTTACCCCCACACAAACACACTGCATCAGACATCTACGCCAGTCAATCACTTCCAAGCTCACCCCCACACAAACACACAGCATCAGACATCTTCCCCAGTCAATCACCTCCATGTTTACCCCACACACAAACACACTGCATCAGACATCTTCCCCAGTCAATCACCTCCATGCTTACCCCACACACAAACACACAGCATCAGACATCTACCCCAGTCAGTCACCTCCATGCTTACCCCCCACACAAACACACTGCATCTGACATCTACGCCAGTCAATCACCTCCATGCCTACCCCCACACAAACACACTGCATCAGACATCTTCCCCAGTCAATCACCTCCATGCTTACCCCCCCCACAAACACACAGCATCAGACATCTTCCCCAGTCAATCACCTCCATGCTCACCCCACACACAAACACACTGCATCAGACGTCTTCCCCAGTCAGTCACCTCCATGCTCACCCCCCACACTGCATCAGACATCTTCCCCAGTCAATCACCTCCATGCTTACCCCACACACAAACACACTGCATCAGACATCTACGCCAGTCAATCACCTCCATGCTGCAATTTCAATATCACTGGAATAGTAGTTCTTTCTGCTGACAACACTTAATTCTAACATTGTCTATTGACACTAAAATTATTTTATCATTTTATAATATAAAGCAATACTTTTTGTCTGAGTGCAGAGCAAACATGTCTGGTTATAAGTAATACTTTATTATAGTTAGGTCCTGCCGACAGAGCAAACATGTTTGGTTATAAGGAATACTTTATTATAGTTAGGTCCTGCCGACAGAGCAACATGTCTGGGTATAAGGAATACTTTATTATAGTTAGGTCCTGCCGACAGAGCAACACGTTTGGTTATAAGGAATACTTTATTATAGTTAGGTCCTGCCGACAGAGAAAACTGAAACTGGATATACTGCAACTGAGAAAAATATACTTAAAAATTACTTTTGTCAGTGACCCCATGCTGAACATGTATAAATCAAAGTCACTTCATGGTTCAATACACTTAACTCTCTCGGTCATTATGGGGTCATGTGGTTTCTAAAAGACTTTCCAAAATTTCATTTTAACCATAGTTTAAAATTATATCACTATTTTGTTCTAAATTCTGATTACAAACCAGCAACGTCTTTATGAAAATATTGTGAAAATAATTAAGCCAACAGTATGAAGGGTCGCACAATGTTTTCCATTCATTTACTCTTGAAACATATCCTGATTGTACTGAGCGACCATATGTGACCTGTGCTCACTTACTCTTGTTTTTCATAAATGTTGAATTTAGGAAGTGTTGTCGCTTCAGTTATTAAAAATTCAAACTGGTTTCCCCTCTTTTCTTTCACAACTGGCCCCTGATATTAAATAAATATGTGATTTTATGAAAAACATGCAAGTGCATTAAAAAATAAATGTAAGAAAAAAAAGATAAAGCCCACCTACTGACCCTGTTTTATAATTTCATCTTAATCTAAACACACATATATTTTGGGGGGCCTAATCAGGAAACATCTAGTCTCTTTTGATTTCCACAAGCCTCAGACCAACAGACTAGCGGACATGTCTAACCCTGCTTGCCACCTCAACCCAGAGTCCAGGTGTGATCATGTCACATCAGGAAGTGAACATATTCAAGTATACTGCTATGGTATTTGAATCCAGCTTGAGGTAAAATTTAATGTCACATCAGTGATGAGACCATGTTCGTATGTGTACATAAGTGAAGCACAAATGTATTACATCTAAAAGCAGATTAGTTACCCATTGGAATCAAGGAACACAGTGAGCTTGACTAACATCTAGTTTCTGAAATGAACATATTTTACAGAAAAAACTGGTTTGTAAATGATAATCATAAAAAATAATGAAAAGGAGCTCTGAGACTTTCTTCATTCCTGAAACTGTGGACATCTAGACTTGTAACACATTCTGGCCTTGCATGGGCTTCCTTGGATATATTTGATTTAGGGTTTGTATGACAGAATACCAATGACTATAACATTATGTGGTGGTCGAGGGTTTGAATGACAGAATACCAATGACTATAACATTATGTGGTGGTCGAGGGTTTGAATGACAGAATACCAATGACTATAACATTATGTGGTAAAGTAAGCACCTGTGAGCAGCCTGGCTGCAATTCGTCATGATATAAATGGATCATAATAACAAATACACTAAGGTTATGAAATGTTCAGTTATGAACACTGTCTGGCATTCAATGAAGGCAAATGAGATGACTTAATGTGACCAGCCTCATGCAGACCTCAATTTAACAGTATACAAAATACACCAGTGCTTCCAATTACTATGTGATATACTGAGTCAAAAAAGAAACTTCACAAAATGTAATTTGAAAAATAATGAATAATTTTTCTCTGATGATACATGTACGTATCTGAAATGGGACCCCCATCTTTTGACTCTAGAAAAATGTTAGCAAAACCCACTCAAACCCATCCATTCGTCGTGCAAATGACGTTAGTGCCAAATCAGGTTTTGCACGTGCAGTCAATCACGTGATCTTCGCATGGAAGTTTTCTTCATATGCATGTGTTTGCATTGACCTCAAGAATTGAAAAAACACTTTTAAACCACAGTTCTAACAGTACTTGAAATGCCACGATTGTCAAATGTGCAACGTGAACGTGCCGTTGGCATGTTGCGGGAAGATCAGTTATTGACGTCGCAAGAGCAATGGGATGCCCAAGGTCGGGTCGTTCATGTGTGACGTCACGAGCAGAAAACCGTCAAATCGTCCTACGTCACCTACGTGACAGATTTCTGCCAGCTACACGAACCAGGGCTGAGATGTTTAGAGGTCGACTGTCCTCACAGACCATTCGACATCGGTTGCGGGCTGCCAATCTCCATATCTTAGGCCAATATTGACGCCGTTTCATCAATGTCAACGTCTGCTGTGGGCCCAACGTCACCTCAGATGGACCCAGAGAGACTGGAATCAAGTCGTCTTTAGCGATGAATCCAGGTTTACCCTCAGATTTGCGGACGGCAGGCATAGAATCTGGAGACGACGTCGTGAACGGTATGCCCAATGTTGTGTACAGGAAGTCGACAGACTCGGGGCCGGGAGTTGCATGGTGTGGGGTGCTTTCTTTCAGAACAACCGTTCCCAACTTCTGGTCATCCGTGGAAACCTCACAGCTGCTGCTTACCGCGACCAGGTGCTCACCCCTGAACTTGTTCCTTTCATGACGGCTCATGGCCCAGGTCTACAGTTCCAGCATGATATTGCTCAGCCGCATACCACGATGTTGACACGAAATTTCCTTCAAAACGCTGAAATCAACATCATGGGACTGGCCATCGAGGTCCCCTGACCTTAATCCAATAGAGCACATTTGGGGTGCACTTGGGAAAAGGCTTCGTGGTCTTAGGAACCAACCTCAGAATTTGCAGGAACTTGGCGCTGCCTTGCAAGAGCAATGGCGCAGAATCCACAACCACGTGTTTACAAGTATCAGGCAGTCGATGAAGAGACGGTGTTTGGCAGTGGTGAATGCGCGGGGCGGCCATATACGATATTGAACTGAGAAATTTCGCATTTTTATTCTTGTGACTCGACATTCTGTATACCCATGTTTTGGAACAGCGGTGTAGCCTTATGGAACTGATTATGGCACTGTCAGTGTATCGAGTACATCACACAGATCTCAGCAATGAAATAATAACAATTTAACCATCTTACCATCTCTTGTTCTTTTATAGTGCCCTTAAGAAAGAATGTGAAGTTTCTTTTTTGACTCAGTATATTTACATCCACCAAGTATTCATCTAAAAAATTAATAACTGACCAACTCTTAATTGTCACACAACATGAATCTTGAAACAAACTCAACATGATATATCTCTGTTTCAGTTACAATACTTCATAACTAATTCTAGTGTTGGTGTCATAATAATAATAATGCACTTATATAGCACCTAATTTCCAACCGGTGGCTGCTCAGTGGTGCTTCACAAAGTTAAAAATAAGAATAAAATAATTGGTTGAAGAGATGGGTTTTCAAGTCACGGCGGAATGACTGGACAGAGTCCACAGATTTAATATATGTTGGTAGACTGTCATGACACATGACATCAAAATGATGTTACTGATTTAGACTAGACTATTTATTTGCGTTTCCACTTCGATAAATTTATGGGACCAGGATGCAACCTAGTTTCATCTGGTGCAACTAGCTTTTTTATGTCAAGTTGCACCTGATGCAGGTTAAATCAAGTCCTTTAAATCAAGACCTGTCATGTGTATTGCGGCTTTGGGTGGGCAAGTAGTCTTTAAAATCAGCTGGCTTTGCTTTTTTAATTGTTTCTTTCATAAAGTAGCATGGCCACAGGGTGTTTAAGTAATCCCAGTACAACTGTCACTCGTGAGGTGTGTGTGTGATGTGTTCTAGCTCTGAACCTGTGCTTCTGTGCGTTACTTTAAGTTCAAATGTTGACATTTCCCCACCCTGGTGTACATGGCTGTGCTGTGTACCACTTTGTAGGACAACATCAGTGATTTAAGGCCACATGGTTTCAGTTATCTGTTTCAGTTATAAAACAGCATAGTATGATCTACCCCACCATCAGAATATACACTTCATCTAAGTGAAAGATTAATACTAACCTGCTAACAAAAGTATTCACCTTCAACCATAACTATATTGTGATGAACAGTTCCTGTAATATTAGCCATCAGACGGAATAAGAAGAATCCTTCGCAAAGCACGACAACGATTTATACTGAGCACCTATTACCAGTGAGGTACTTATTATTCATAACACTCAACTGTCAAATTTGTCACATTGACAGGTGCCCCGGTACATACAAAGGGAGATAACTCTTCATGCTGAAATTCAAAACAACCAACTGATACAGACCCTCGGGACTCAGTTGGGATATTAAGCACTGGTGCAATTTGATGCAAAGTCTTACCTGACGTCTCAATAATGAATCCCGTTAGCAAGTGAGGGGACGTTTCTTCCAGAACCCCACAGAATTCGTGGAACGCCTTCAGACCCTTTCGTGACAAAATATCCAGAAACACCTCAGCTCTCCTCTGTGGTGAGGAAATGCCAACAAGGTCTTTCTCCTCTGGTTTAGAAATAATGCCTCTCCGAACTAATTTAGGAATAATGCGATCTAAATCCAGTTCTTTCACAAGCTGACTTCGATGACGGTCAAGGAGCCTCCCAACTCCGCCTTGACCCGCCATGTTTGTAAACTTAGCTCGTATGGGAGAGTAGATCCAAATACAATATTTTGAGAATTAAAGATCACGTTTTATTATTTTTTCTTGGACATATTCTGCACTTTGGAATAAATGGACTTTCTTAAGCATATTCGCTTAGAGATGTATTAACAAAATTACTTTAAGATTGGCTTTAAATAATCGTACGAATGTTTCGAAATTGTTGGTATTGTCCCTTTCGAACCACAAATTTGCGTCACTCAGAGCGCCCTCTGCAGGGAAAACCCGAGTGGGAATTCTTCTTCCGGCGAAGACGCGTGTTTGGTGTTCGCCGGTGTTTTGAATTGAGCAAGAAGCAATATGTGAATATTTCGCAATGATTTCAGGACATATTTGGACAACTGTTTCCTATTTCTAGCAGGAACATTTCAGACACAAGGATCTGGTGGATGTAGCGGTTCTCTTGTCCTCGTATCGTTGTGTTGTTTTGATTACGCCGGCAAAATGGCGGAATTGGGGAACATGTTTGGAAGTGACGCAGAGAGCGGTGTGTATACTCTATTATCTAACTCAGTGGAGAGTACTTATTTGTATTTTGTGCATCAGATATCCAAGTTATCCACGTTTTTTCAAAGTGATCCATATATATGTTATACACTTGGAGATGAATGTGTTCACAGCATCATGTCAGCCGATTCATGGGGGACCATGAAATCACTGGCTTGTCTGGTCCAGATTTCATTGTTCACACCATCAAATAGCAAAGAAAATTTAATTTTCTTAGAGTGGCATTAAGGACAAACTTTCCATGGGTACACTTACAGAATACTGGATACATACCAACCATATTGTTAATGTCACGTCTATCTAACTCTAACGCTATCCCTAAACCTTACCCGAACCCTAAACCCTATCCTAACCCTAAACCTAAACCTTACCCTAACCCTAGGAGTTACAAAGGTATCCGGTATTCTGTAATCTTACCTTTTCCATGTATCATGGACCCTCTATTATTGCAGTAGTTAATGTTGTCGCCATTGGGATTACGAACGGCTACTGACTATTTCAGTGTAGCATAAATAATTTTCAAGAAGTGAGTTTAGGCTGATCTTCGTAAAATTTTACAGGCAAATTTAAACTCACCTCTGCTCTGCGCGCATAATTTCATTTAAATTTTCCAACCACTATTTAACTAATGATATCACATTTAGCAACTTACGTATGATTCCACAATGCACAATCCCATAGGCCGTCATGTCAAAGGAATTCAGGGCATTGTACACATGTTGATTAAATTATTGCCATTCAGTAAACAAGCAACGGAAAATTGAACCAAAATTATGTGATTGTAGGTAAGATCATTTGTCACAAATGTGCAAAATTTGACTTGGATCTTACAAAAATTAAATTCAGGAAAATTATTTATTCTGCACTAAATTAACATGTAAGTCTATGAAAATTTTGTCAAGTGTCCGAATACTTTTTGCACCAGTCTGTAGTTGTTCCCGTTCAACTGATTGTGAGTGGTATTCGTATGCATCGCAAAATATCCATTACTGTGTTTTCTCATTACTTACATAATGCAATCAAATGTATCTAATACAACAGCATGACAGTTCCGATCAAGAATACGACACAATGGGAATGGAATCGTCCTAGGGTATGTTTCTGTATTCTCATTATGGCCAGGGTACATATCAGTATACAGAAACATACCTGGGGTACATATCTGTGGTACAAGTGCTGACGACACCTTCAGTGCTACTGACATTTAGTATTTTATATGTATTATTTCAGTTGACTGATGTTTAATCTTCGTTTCTGTCACAAATAATGTGACACATATTCGCAACTCCTTTAATACCATCGCTGCAATTCCGATTGTCTTGTTTGACCCAGAAATTGAAGCAACTCTCTATTATCGAGGTATTGCTATTTTCTTACTCTATGGCACCCTTTACAAGCAGATGACACTGTGAAACGTTACTAAGACAAGTAACTAATCTAAATAGTTTGATCAATAAAAAATATTTAGGAATTTCATTCACATTAGTAATATCATCATGTTTTTAACCTAAGCATCTGAAACTTCTATTCATTTGGATACAAAGTAACAATACAATGCCATCCGGTAATTCCGCACACCTAAGCACATCGATCGCAACATGGCAACTAACGTCTTTTATTTTTTGAGGTTTACATTACTACACATGCTGATATGCATCATATTGACCTAGAAATATAAGTTTTATTGACGACTATAAGATTCTAACGTTGCATTATGTCATACCATTGACCTTACCAGCGTTCTGATGACATCGCTTGCTGTCCGGTAATTCTGCACAGCAGCTGATGCCCATAACATCCAGCTGGAGATCCGAAGTATGGAAGCGTATTAGAGCCAGATTATTTTCAAAAATCACTTCATCAGTGTAAGGAAGAGTGTTTCATATTAAATCCAATTATGAATAATGATGAAAAAGGTTTAAAAGGCTGAAGAAAACAAATTTTCATAAACCTGTCAATTACTGAACTTTAGTGATTTAAAAGCCAATTCCTTGTAGAAATGTCCCGATTTCAAGCGTAAATGTGGTAGGAGACGATGTTAACTTCAATACGGAAGTATGCTATTGCAGCTGCACAGAATTACCAGACGCGAGGAATTACCGGACTCCCTTGTTACGTTACAAAATATTGTTTTTCCGCCTTAAAACGTACCATGCAAGATGCTGCGTGTGTAGAGTGAAGTTGCATAATATGTCACTTCCTGTTATATTTTTAGCACGGAAAATATGCAAATGACCTTATAGTTGTCGCAGGATTACTCTTGACGAAGTAAGTTTTAATTCATGCTAGATGTAATGGCGGTAGGGGTCATACTAGTTTCAAAATGTTCTTGAACTTTCTGAAAAGATTAATGCTTTAATATTTCTACGATTAGACATGACTTTCCAATGAAATAAATGTCTTTTTCAAGAGCAATGAATATATTTTACGTAATTTGCATATCTAAACAGTCGATGTGGGACGTGGTGTTTCTGCTTCCCGATGTTTTCGCGTGGGGCGATAATAGAGAGTCAAAGTATATATACTGCCCCGAAACCCTTGCTTGTCATTAGAGGCAACTGAGGTCAGTCTGTGTGGCTCGCTAAACCATGTCATCTTACGTCATGGGTCAATGCTCGTGATGTTAATCACTGTGGTGGTGTGTGGTCCTGTGTGTAGAGGTCAGTCTGTGTGGCTCGTTAAACCATGTCATCTTATGTCATGGGTCAATGCTCGTGATGTTAATCACTGTGGTGGTGTGTGTAGAGGTCAGTCTGTGTGGCTCGCTAAACCATGTCATCTTACGTCATGGGTCAATGCTCGTGATGTTAATCACTGTGCTGGTGTGTGTAGAGGTCAGTCTGTGTGGCTCGCTAAACCATGTCATCTTACGTCATGGGTCAATGCTCGTGATGTTAATCACTGTGCTGGTGTGTGTAGAGGTCAGTCTGTGTGGCTCGCTAAACCATGTCATCTTACGTCATGGGTCAATGCTCGTGATGTTAATCACTGTGGTGGTGTGTGGTCCTGTGTGTAGAGGTCAGTCTGTGTGGCTCGTTAAACCATGTCATCTTACGTCATGGGTCAATGCTCGTGATGTTAATCACTGTGGTGGTGTGTGGTCCTGTGTGTAGAGGTCAGGTCACGCGTCAGGGGAACTTTGGTTGCGGAGAGTCTTTGGATGGGTGACCGTGTTTGGTATCTGGACTACTGAGAGTTTCTAGTCCTGCCCCACAATGAAGCACATGTCATACATGTGGTTTCACCTTACACAAGTGCGTTTGGACAAAATTGCCTCTGTTCACTCAGCAGCACATGGGTACATGGTGGTATAAGTCATGTGACTATAACCGTCTAGCGCCTAACACTAGCAACAGGCAGCGTGGGTTATCTAGGGTAATAATGTGCTGTGCAGTGATTGTTAATTCCTATGAGCATACCTGGTGTGGACTTTAACAGTATATAAATGGACACATTATTATTATTATCTTTCTTGTTTTGATCCGATGTGATTATTTACAGACTGCAATCTTATAGTTAAACAAAAAACTAAAAGAAACAAAGAGATCTTAACTAATCTTTTGGATAATTTATTCTAATTGTGTACTCAGTCTGTCCTAAAGAAAGTTACCCCCAAATATTTACATTCCACATTATTCGTTCAGCATTTATTTATTTATTTATTTATTTCCATCACCCGAAATCAGATATTACTGGCAGGGCAATGCCAGCCCCATTAGAACTGGCAATGACTGTGAAGCGTCTTGCATATTGGCAACATTGGACGTTCTGTTTCTTGTCAGTTATTCCTGTTATCATGTTTAAAGCCGAAATCATGCTGAAAAATTCACGTGTTTACTCACTCATTGATATATTCGTCTGCTTTGCACAAACATCAAAAATATATTTTGTATCCCGAGAGAAGCACAATAATGCTCACTGTTCAACGTTCTTAACTAGAAGTATATAGTTCTTTATTAAAACATAGTTATTGTTATTGCCTTGTAATTGGGACACTGTTGACTTACCATTCCCTTGGGTGGATGAATTTATGCCTATGGCTATGAATGTATCAATGAAGTCATTAAAACTGTACAGCTTGTCAAGCCTAATTTCACCTCAGTGGCAGATTGGTTTGTTGTTTTGTATCATCTTGTTTCACACTGTTACCTTTAGTCCAGTGTAATATTTGTCAGGCATCTGCGATCAAATGCTCTAAAGTTTGAAAGTCTGCAGAATTGTTCCACTGAGTTAATTGCCTTTTCACAATTATACAAATGATGAACAGATGAGAGACTGTGGGAATCTAAAGAAAGTAAGATAAGTGCTTGATATAACAAAGTGACCGTCTTTCTTTCAGACCGAGGATCACAACATTCGGGGTCAGGAGGCAGTGAACACTCAGGATCCCCCCCAGGGAGTCCAGCTGGTAGCCATGGCAGCAGGTCTGATAGTGGATCTGGGAGCGGGTCTCCAGGCAGTAGCCCAGCAGGTCAGTCCACTCAGTAGTGTCTGTAGGCAGTAGCCCACTCAGTAGTGTCTGTAGGCAGTAGCCCAGCAGGTCAGTCCACTCAGTAGTGTCTGTAGGCAGTAGCCCAGCAGGTCAGTCCACTCAGTAGTGTCTGTAGGCAGTAGCCCAGCAGGTCAGTCCACTCAGTAGTGTCTGTAGACAGTAGCCCAGCAGGTCAGTCCACTCAGTAGTGTCTGTAGACAGTAGCCCAGCAGGTCAGTCCACTCCGTAGTGCCTGTGGTAGCCCAGCAGGTCAGTCCACTCAGCAGTGTCTGTGGTAGCCCAGCAGGTCAGTCCACTCAGTAGTGTCTGTAGGCAGTAGCCCAGCAGGTCAGTCCACTCAGTAGTGCCTGTAGACAGTAGCCCAGCAGGTCAGTCCACTCAGTAGTGCCTGTAGGCAGTAGCCCAGCAGGTCAGTCCACTCAGTAGTGTCTGTAGGCAGTAGCCCAGCAGGTCAGTCCACTCAGTAGTGTCTGTAGACAATAGACCAGCAGGTCAGTCCACTCAGTAGTGCCTGTAGGCAGTAGCCCAGCAGGTCAGTCCACTCAGTAGTGTCTGTAGGCGGTAGCCCAGCAGGTCAGTCAACTCAGTAGTGTCTGTAGGCAGTAGCCCAGCAGGTCAGTCCACTCAGTAGTGCCTGTAGGCAGTAGCCCAGCAGGTCAGTCCACTCAGTAGTGTCTGTAGGCAGTAGCCCAGCAGGTCAGTCCACTCAGTAGTGTCTGTAGGCAGTAGCCCAGCAGGTCAGTCCACTCAGTAGTGTCTGTAGACAGTAGCCCAGCAGGTCAGTCCACTCAGTAGTGTCTGTAGACAGTAGCCCAGCAGGTCAGTCCACTCAGTAGTGTCTGTAGGCAGTAGCCCAGCAGGTCAGTCCACTCAGTAGTGTCTGTAGGCACTAGCCCAGCAGGTCAGTCCACTCAGTAGTGTCTGTAGGCACTAGCCCAGCAGGTCAGTCCACTCAGTAGTGTCTGTAGGCACTAGCTCAGCAGGTCAGTCCACTCAGTAGTGTCTGTAGACAGTAGCCCAGCAGGTCAGTCCACTCCGTAGTGCCTGTAGGCGGTAGCCCAGCAGGTCAGTCCACTCAGTAGTGTCTGTAGGCAGTAGCCCAGCAGGTCAGTCCACTCAGTAGTGTCTGTAGGCGGTAGCCCAGCAGGTCAGTCCACTCAGTAGTGTCTGTAGACAGTAGCCCAGCAGGTCAGTCTACTCAGTAGTGTCTGTAGACAGTAGCCCAGCAGGTCAGTCCACTCCGTAGTGCCTGTAGGCAGTAACCCAGCAGGTCAGTCCACTCAGTAGTGTCTGTAGGCAGTAGCCCAGCAGGTCAGTCCACTCAGTAGTGTCTGTAGACAGTAGCCCAGCAGGTCAGTAGTGAAGGGTCTATGTGTGTCTGCAGGTAGTGAAGGGTCTATGTGTGTCTGCAGGTAGTGAAGGGTCTCGTGTGTCTGCAGGTAGTGAAGGGTCTATGTGTGTCTGCAGGTAGTCAAGGTTCTATGTGTGTCTGCAGGTAGTAGAGACAACAGTCCAGCTGGAAGCAGGTCTGGGCGGAGTGGATCTGGGAGTCCACCAGGGAGTCCGGCAGGGAGTGGAGGAGATGGGAGCGCCCCAGGGAGTCCAGCTGGCAGCGGTGGCAGTGATTCAGGAAGTGCGCCTGGCAGCCCAGATGGCAGCGCGGTCAGTTACCAGGGCAGTGCCCCAGGGAGTCCAGCAGGTTCGTGAGCAAGAGCAGCAGCTACACCGTCGGTCAGGTGGACTTGTGGAACAAACAGCCCACCTGCCTCAAGCTAGACTAACACCTAGTCTCTGAAATGACCAGATGTTACAGACGATACAGTTCCCAAGCTACATTCATTAAATAGAATTAGAAGGAGCCTAGAGACTTTCATCAGGCATCAATCAAATCTATACAGCAATAATTGCCTGGAATTTCCCAACACAAGTAAAAATGTACACAGTGGTTCTGTACCTGCTTCTATGTATTGCTTCTGTTCCAGGTAGTGGTCCGGGCTCACCTGATGGTAGTGCTGGTAGTCCTGCAGGAAGTGGCCCTGGGTCTCCTGCAGGAAGTGGCCCTGGGTCTCCTTCAGGGAGCGGACCTGGGTCTCCTGCAGGGAGCGGACCTGGGTCTCCTGCAGGGAGCGGACCTGGGTCTCCTGCAGGGAGCGGACCGGGATCTCCTGCAGGAAGTGGCCCTGGGTCTCCTGCAGGGAGCGGACCTGGGTCTCCTGCAGGGAGCGGACCGGGGTCTCCTGAAGGGAGCGGACATGGATCTCCTGTGGGAAGTTATGGAACCCCAGTAGGATCAGATCATGAAGATAGAAGTGCACCTGGATCTCCAGTTGGCAGTGGCCAGGGAAGTGGATCGGGCAGTCACAGATCAGGCAGCCCGACAGGCAGTCACAGATCGGGCAGCCCTGCAGGAAGTCACAGATCAGGCAGCCCTGCAGGAAGTCACAGATCAGGCAGCCCGACAGGCAGTCACAGATCAGGCAGTCCGACAGGCAGTCACAGATCGGGCAGCCCGACAGGCAGTCACAGATCAGGCAGCCCTGCAGGAAGTCACAGATCAGGTAGCCCGACAGGCAGTCACAGATCAGGCAGCCCGACAGGCAGTCACAGATCGGGGAGCCCTGCAGGAAGTCACAGATCAGGCAGCCCAGCAGGTAGTCACAGATCAGGTAGCCCCGCAGGGACTCACAGATCGGGCAGCCCTGCAGGCAGTCACAGATCCGGCAGTCCAACAGGTAGTCACAGATCAGGCAGCCCGGCAGGCAGTCACAGATCGGGCAGCCCTGCAGGCAGTCACAGATCGGGCAGCCCTGCAGGGAGTCACAGATCAGGCAGCCCCGCAGGGACTCACAAATCTGGCAGTCCAGCAGGTAGTCACAGATCCGGCAGCCCAACAGGTAGTCACAGATCCGGCAGCCCAACAGGTAGTCACAGATCAGGGAGCCCCGCAGGAAGCCACAGACCGGGCAGCCCTGCAGGAAGCCACAGATCCGGCAGCCCTGCAGGCAGTCACAGATCGGGCAGCCCAGCAGGTAGTCACAGATCGGGCAGCCCAGCAGGAAGTCACAGATTGGGCAGCCCTGCAGGCAGTCACCGAAGCAGGTCTGGCAGTCCAGTTGGCAGTCGCAAATCGAGATCACCAACTGGAAGCAACAGGGAGAGTCATAGTCCTCAAGGTATGTATGGTATTTCCTCAATGCACTGGTCTATATGCCTGTAATATTCTTTGAGTGTCTAACATTTACTTACTGTACGTTATGCATTATATCTCCCAACCCATGTCTGTATTTGATACAATACAAGACAAACAAATCTTCAATGTTGTACAGATGGTGAGCAGGCAGAAAGAAAGAAGGTGAGGGCCATTTTGAGTGATGATGAAGAGGACATGGACACTGGGGAAGGAGCTGTACAGGGTGAGATACAGAGCAGGGGAGGTGCTGTACAGGGTGAGATACAGAGCAGGGGAGGTGCTGTACAGGGTGAGATACAGAGCAGGGGAGGGATGTACAGGGTGAGATACAGAGCAGGGGAGGTGCTGTACAGGGTGAGATACAGAGCAGGGGAGGGGCTGTACAGGGTGAGATACAGGGGAGGGGATGTACAGGGTGAGATACAGAGCAGGGGAGGGATGTACAGGGTGAGATACAGAGCAGGGGAGGGATGTACAGGGTGAGATACAGAGCAGGGGAGGTGCTGATGTACAGGGTGAGATACAGAGCAGGGGAGGTGCTGTACAGGGTGAGATACAGAGCAGGGGAGGGATGTACAGGGTGAGATACAGGGGGGAGGGATGTACAGGGTGAGATACAGAGCAGGGGAGGGATGTACAGGGGTGAGATACAGAGCAGGGGAGGGATGTACAGGGTGAGATACAGGCAGGGGAGGGATGTACAGGGTGAGATACAGAGCAGGGGAGGTGCTGTACAGGGTGAGATACAGAGCAGGGAGGTGCTGTACAGGGTGAGATACAGAGCAGGGGGAGGGATGTGTACAGGGTGAGATACAGAGCAGGGGAGGGATGTACAGGGGTGAGATACAGGGGAGGGATGTACAGGGTGAGATCTGAGCAGGGTGAGATGTACAGGGGTGAGATACAGGGGAGGGATGTACAGGGTGAGATACAGAGCATGGGGAGGTGCTGTACAGGGTGAGATACAGAGCAGGGAAGGGATGTACAGGGTGAGATACAGAGCAGGGGAGGTGCTGTACAGGGTGAGATACAGAGCAGGGGATGGGGTGTACAGGGTGAGATACAGAGCAGAGGAGGTGCTGTACAGGGTGAGATACAGAGCAGGGGAGGGGATGTACAGGGTGAGATACAGAGCAGGTAGGTGCTGTACAGAGTGAGATACAGAGCAGGGGAGGGGATGTACAGGGTGAGATACAGAGCAGGGAGGTGCTGTACAGGGTGAGATACAGAGCAGGGGAGGTGATGTACAGGGTGAGATACAGAACAGGGGAGGGGATGTACAGGGTGAGATACAGAGCAGGGAAGGGGATGTACAGGGTGAGATACAGAGCAGGGGAGGTGATGTACAGGGTGAGATACAGAGCAGAGGAGGTGATGTACAGGGTGAGATACAGAGCAGGGAAGGGGATGTACAGGGTTTGATACAGATGCCATTATTATATTGTTAGTGAAGTCATACAAATGTTACTTGGTATTCCCAGCAATGCAAGCCATGTATGACCATTCTCCTTACAGCAACTATGGATGACCTGTTCGGTGACGCAGATGACATCAGCTCTGATGAGGAGGAGAAGAGACAGGCAGAGGACAGGGATGATGTTCCTCCCAGTGTAAGTTAGGCCCCTTTATTTTATTTCAGGATGAGAGTTATGTCCCTTTATTGAATGTCAGCTATGTCAGGATGACACATTCTTTTTTCACAGATGCCAGTCATGTGTATGATCTATGTTCACAGATGCCAATCATGTGTATGATCTTTGTTGACAGATGCCAGTCATGTGTATGATCTTTGTTGACAGATACCAGTCATGTGTATGATCTTTGTTCTCAGATGCCAGTAATTGAGGATGATGACGAAGAAGAGAAAGAAGAAGAACCTCCGGAGACCAGGATCGAGGTGGAAATACCCAAGATAACCACCAATCTGGGCAAGGCTCTGCACTATGTAAAGTTGCCCAACTTCCTCAGTGTGGAGACTAGGTACTGACACCAGGTGTTTCATGGAGGCTATATTACCAGCGGCCTGTGAAGATCCAGGCTAGAATTGATCTTTAGTAACCCATGCTTGTCATAAGAGGCGTCTAACGGGATCGGGTGGTAAGGCTCGCTGATTCACACGTCATCGGTTCCCAATTGTGTAGATAGATGCTCATGCTGTTGATCACTGGATAGTCTACATAAAACGAAACTCACTCACTCACAATATTACCAGCTAAGGCACCAGGTTTTAGAGGGAAGATATATAACCAGCAACACTAAAGCACCAGGTGTTAGAGGGGTACTATATTACCAGCAACACTAAGGCACCAGGTGTTAGAGGGGTGCTATATTACCAGCAACACTAAGGCACCAGGTGTTAGATATTACCAGCAACACTAAGGGGTGTTAGAGGGGTGCTATATTACCAGCAACACTAAAGCACCAGGTGTTAGAGGGGTGCTATATTACCAGCAACACTAAGGCACCAGGTGTTAGAGGGGTGCTATATTACCAGCAACACTAAGGCACCAGGTGTGTGAGGGGTGCTATATTACCAGCAACACTAAGGCACCAGGTGTTAGAGGGGTGCTATATTACCAGCAACACTAAAGCACCAGGTGTTAGAGGGGTGCTATATTACCAGCAACACTAAGGCACCAGGTGTGTGAGGGGTGCTATATTACCAGCAACACTAAGGCACCAGGTGTTAGAGGGGTGCTATATTACCAGCAACACTAATGCACCAGGTGTGTGAGGGGTGCTATATTAACAGCAACACTAAGGCACCTGGTGTGTGAGGGGTGATATATTACCAGCAACACTAAGGCGCCAGGTGTTAGAGGGGTGCTATATTACCAGCAACACTGAGGCACCAGGTGTGTGAGGGGTGATATATTAACAGCAACACTAAGGCACCAGGTGTTAGAGGGGTGCTATATTACCAGCAACACTAAGGCACCAGGTGTGTGAGGGGTGATATATTAACAGCAACACTGAGGCACCAGGTGTTAGAGGGGTGCTATATTACCAGCAACACTAAGGCACCAGGTGTGTGAGGGGTGATATATTAACAGCAACACTAAGGCACCAGGTGTTAGAGGGGTGCTATATTACCAGCAACACTAAGGCACCAGGTGTGTGAGGGGTGATATATTAACAGCAACACTGAGGCACCAGGTGTTAGAGGGGTGCTATATTACCAGCAACACTAAGGCACCAGGTGTTAGAGGGGTGCTATATTACCAGCAACACTAATGCACCAGGTGTGTGAGGGGTGATATATTAACAGCAACACTAAGGCACCTGGTGTTAGAGGGGCTCTATATTATAGCAACACTAAGGCACCAGGTGTGTGAGGGGTGCTATATTACCAGCAACACTAATGCACCAGGTGTGTGAGGGGTGCTATATTACCAGCAACACTAAGGCGCCAGGTGTTAGAGGGGTGCTATATTACCAGCAACACTAATGCACCAGGTGTGTGAGGGGTGATATATTAACAGCAACACTAAGGCACCTGGTGTTAGAGGGGTTCTATATTATAGCAACACTAATGCACCAGGGGCTACTGTTAGAGGGGTGCTGTATTATCAGCAACAGGTGTAGGTTGTAGTTACACTGTGAGGAGTTTCAGTGGTCAACAGGTGTAGAACACTGGGTTGCTCAGTCAGGGGGCAAGTAGGTTGTAGTTACACTGTGAGGAGTTTCAATGGGCAACAGGTGTAGAACACTGTGTTGCTCGGTCAGGGGGCAAGTAGGTGGAAGTTACACTGTGAGGAGTTTCAATGGTCAACAGGTGTAGAACACTGGGTTGCTCAGTCAGGGGGCAAGTAGGTTGTAGTTACACTGTGAGGAGTTTCAATGGTCAACAGGTGTAGAACACTGTGTTGCTCGGTCAGGGGGCAAGTAGGTGGAAGTTAAACACACTGTGCTGAGTTATTCTGTTTCCCTGTCGTGTTGCAGACCCTTCGACCCCGTGACCTATGAAGATGAGATAGATGAGGATGAGGTACTTGATGAGGAAGGTCGCACAAGGATGAAGCTAAAAGTTAGTTTATTTTTTATGTTTTCTGTTGCTATAGTGAGAATGATCTTGCAATTTACTCAGTAAAGGACTTGGTTCTACCTAACATGTTGGAGGTGTTGTTGAAGATGGTTCATCGTGGTCACTGCGTGTTGTACAGGTGGAGAACACGATGAGATGGCGGACGTTGAAGGACGAGGAAGGGAATGATCGCAAGGATGATTTTGACAACACAGTCCGAGAGAGCAATGCCCGCATAGTGAAGTGGTCAGACGGCAGGTGGGTTGCCTCCCTTTTGTAGGTGGGAAAGTTGAGTCAGTGATTGCTATGTGAGCATGAATCCAATCGTTTGATATGTCTGTTTGTTGTGTGGTCTCTATGTCTGTTTGTTGTGTGGTCTCTATGTCTGTTTGTTGTGTGGTCTCTATGTCTGTTTGTTGTGTGGTCTCTATGTCTGTTTGTTGTGTGGTCTCTATGTCTGTTTGTTGTGTGGTCTCTATGTCTGTTTGTTGTGTGGTCTCTATGTCTGTTTGTTGTGTGGTCTCTATGTCTGTTTGTTGTGTGGTCTCTATGTCTGTTTGATGTGTGGTGTCTATGTCTGTTTGATGTGTGGTGTCTCTATGTGTGGTCTCTATGTCTGTTTGTTGTGTGGTCTCTATGTCTGTTTGTTGTGTGGTCTCTATGTCTGTTTGTTGTGTGGTCTCTATGTCTGTTTGATGTGTGGTGTCTATGTCTGTTTGATGTGTGGTCTCTATGTCTGTTTGTTGTGTGGTCTCTATGTCTGATGTGTGGTCTCTATGTCTGTTTGATGTGTGGTCTCTATGTCTGTTTGATGTGTGGTCTCTATGTCTGTTTGTTGTGTGGTCTCTATGTCTGCACGTGTCATTGCGTCTTGAGGCTGAAGTGTTTGTTGTGTGGTCTCTATGTCTGTTTGCACATGTCATTGCGTCTTGAGGCTGAAGTGTTTGTTGTGTGGTCTCTATGTCTGTTTGCACATGTCATTGCGTCTTGAGGCTGAAGTGTTTGTTGTGTGGTCTCTATGTCTGTTTCAGCATGTCATTGCGTCTTGAGGCTGAAGTGTTTCACATTTGGTTCTATGTCTGTTTCAGCATGTCACTGCAGCTCAGGGATGAAGTGTTTGATGTGTGGTCTCTATGTCTGTTTCAGCATGTCGCTGCAGCTCAGGGATGAAGTGTCTAATATGTGGTCTCTGTGTCTGTTTCAGCATGTCACTGCAGCTCAGGGATGAAGTGTTTGATGTGTGTTCTCTATGTCTGTTTCAGCATGTCGCTGCAGCTCAGGGATGAAGTGTCTAATGTGTGGTCTCTATGTCTGTTTCAGCATGTCGCTGCAGCTCGGGGATGAAGTGTTTGATGTGTGGTCTCTATGTCTGTTTCAGCATGTCGCTGCAGCTCAGGGATGAAGCGTTTGTTGTGTGTTCTCTATGTCTGTTTCAGCATGTCGCTGCAGCTCGGGGATGAAGTGTTTGTTGTGTGGTCTCTATGTCTGTTTCAGCATGTCGCTGCAGCTCAGGGATGAAGTGTTTGTTGTGTGGTCTCTATGTCAGTTTCAGCATGTCGCTGCAGCTCGGGGATGAAGTGTGTGATGTGTGGTCTCTATGTCTGTTTCAGCATGTCGCTGCAGCTCGGGGATGAAGTGTTTGTTGTGTGGTCTCTATGTCTGTTTCAGCATGTCGCTGCAGCTCATTTGGATGAAGTGTTTGTTGTGTGGAAGTCTCTATGTCTGTTTCAGCATGTCGCTGCAGCTCAGGGATGAAGTGTTTGTTGTGTGGTCTCTATGTCTGTTTCAGCATGTCGCTGCAGCTCGGGGGATGAAGTGTGTGATGTGTGGTCTCTATGTCTGTTTCAGCATGTCGCTGCAGCTCGGGGGATGAAGTGTTTGTTGTGTGGTCTCTATGTCTGTTTCAGCATGTCGCTGCAGCTCCTATGGGATGAAGTGTTTGTTGTGTGGTCTCTATGTCTGTTTCAGCATGTCGCTGCAGCTCAGGGATGAAGTGTTTGTTGTGTGGTCTCTATGTCTGTTTCAGCATGTCGCTGCAGCTCGGGGATGAAGTGTTTGTTGTGTGGTCTCTATGTCTGTTTCAGCATGTTGCACCTCAGGGATGAAGTGTTTGTTGTGTGGTCTCTATGTCTGTTTCAGCATGTCGCTGCAGCTCGGGGATGAAGTGTGTGATGTGTGGTCTCTATGTCTGTTTCAGCATGTCGCTGCAGCTCAGGGATGAAGTGTTTGTTGTGTGGTCTCTGTGTCTGTTTCAGCATGTCGCTGCACCTCGGGGATGAAGTGTTTGACGTGTGGTCTCTATGTCTGTTTCAGCATGTCGCTGCACCTCGGGGATGAAGTGTTTGACGTGTGGTCTCTGTGTCTGTTTCAGCATGTCGCTGCACCTCGGGGATGAAGTGTTTGACGTGTACTCAATGCCCATCAGCTCAGACTTCAACCATTTGTTTGTGAGACAGGGTACTGGTCTCCAAGGACAATCAGTCTTCAAAACTAAACTGTCATTCAGGTGAGAGATTCTGGTAACACACATAGGCAATAATATAAATTAAATATTAGAATTGGCCTTCTGCAACCCATGCTTGTCGTAAGAGGCGACTAACTGACACAGTTAGTTTCCCCGTCCCTGACGCAGTTGGTTTGCCTGTCTCTGACACAGTTAGTTTCCCCGTCTCTGATGCAGTTAGTTTCCTCGTCTCTGACGCAGTTGGTTTGCCCGTCTCTTGACACAGTTAGTTTCCCCGTCTCTGATGCAGTTAGTTTCCCCGTCTCTGACGCAGTTGGTTTGCCCGTCTCTTGACACAGATTCCCCGTCTCTGATGCAGTTAGTTTCCTCGTCTCTGACGCAGTTGGTTTGCCCGTCTCTTGACACAGATTCCCCGTCTCTGATGCAGTTAGTTTCCTCGTCTCTGACGCAGTTGGTTTGCCCGTCTCTTGACACAGATTCCCCGTCTCTGATGCAGTTAGTTTCCTCGTCTCTGACGCAGTTAGTTTCCCCATCTCTGACGCAGTTAGTTTCCCTGTTGCTGACATAGTTAGTTCCCGTCTCTGATGCAGTTGGTTTGCCCGTCTCCTGACACAGTTAGTTTCCCCGTCTCTGATGCAGTTAGTTTCCTCGTCTCTGACGCAGTTAGTTTCCCCATCTCTGACGCAGTTAGTTTCCCTGTTGCTGACATAGTTAGTTCCCTGTCTCTGACGCAGTTGGTTTGCCCGTCTCTTGACACAGTTAGTTTCCCCGTCTTTGATGCAGTTAGTTTCCCGTCTCTGATGCTGTTAGTTTCCCCATCTCTGACATAGTTAGTTTCCCTGTTGCTGACATAGTTAGTTTCCCGTCTCTGATGCTGTTAGTTTCCCCATCTCTGACATAGTTTGTTTCCCTGTTGCTGACATAGTTAGTTTCCCCGTTGCTGAGCTACTGTTCTCTGTACAGGCCCCACTCAACCGAGTCGTTTACTCACCGAAAGATGACCATGTCCCTCGCTGATCGCTCCACTAAAGCCCAGAAGGTCAAGGTCTTACCGATAGCAGGTCATGACCCTGATGCACACAGGTCAGAGATGATCAAGGTACGTTCTTCTCTTGTATTCTGGAGCATGACGTGGACAATGGACTTTTGTCTGAACCAGTTTTATGCAGGGCCAACTTCATCTGTTGATTCCCTGGGCTCTGTTGATTGTCTGAACTGGCTTAACCCATTCAACACCGCAGGCCGAATAATCGGCCACAACGCTATGAGTCCCCAGACACCGGAGGCCGATTAATCGGCCAGGCAGTAGTCACGTCAAAATGAGACATAATTTTAGGAACCTACCTGACTTTTGATTCATATATCAAATCTATCACATTTCACAATGTCTGAAAACACTTATTAAATTTCAATTTATCATATATTATCAGCAGAATTAAAATTATAACTATTTTTCGCAATATTATTGAAAACAATGATTCTCGGACACATGCTTCGGCAGCGGGTCCACAATAACATTGTCAAAGAGCAAAGTAACGATGTTTCGAGGAAATTATTAAATAAATTGAATAAACTAATGAATAAAATCAACAACAGCATTCATAAAAGTTGTCAAACGTACATATAAAATTACTATTTCCATCTTTTTGTGCGATCATGTAATGCAAGTCAAGTCACTGACAAGTGACATCTCGGCTCTCGCCTATAATTTACGTATTGGTAGCGATTTCTTGCTTAATATGTTCAGAATAGCATTATTTTACCCAAAACTTTTGTCCAAATCTAAAAGATTTCGTTTACGAGGACGGTATCCATTGCCGTAATATGATTGGCTGCCTTAGGTCACGTGTCTGATTTTGACCAATCACAACCCTTATAGCAGACTGTGGCGAAAAAGCGTCATTAGAAACCAATCTCTATCCAATAAAATCGCTTCTTACAACTGTGAAAATACTCTTGGCAAGGGTACAGTGATATTGTTGATGTTCAGAGCTTTCGAACGATGCCCGACATCAAACGATTTGCCACGCATGTTATTCATCTGAAGCTTCAAAACGGAGGTATTTTCAGTTGTTATGTCATTTTACCGGCGGAAAGCCGCAGATATCGGGAAATAGGCTGACCATACATATTGTTTAAGAAATCTTTTATAATAATTTTCTGATTACGTAAAAATGAAAATATAAAAGAAAAAAGGCACGGGCAATTTATGACATGTCACAAATGGAAAAAATCGCCATAGTTTTTGCTCCTTTCGTGGTTTATCTGGACGTTACAAATGTAAGCTTGCATTTTCATTCAAATATAAATTTATTTAAGTTTTAGTTGTATTATTTGAATAACATTATAAAAATAAACTTCATATTTATCAACAGTAGGATTAGATCTTTTAAATGGTGTATGGGATGTAGTAGCAATAACGTTTTACAAGCTTATAATTTCCTTCACAAACATAGGCTTCATCTATGACCTCAGAGTCTCTGGGAACTCGGTGTCATGGCAGTAAATGCCTCTGGTTGACTGGTGTTGAAAGAGTTAATGATGAACCAGCAAAACATACTGTTTTAACGTAATAAAATAATAATGTGGTAATGAATTTCAGCATGTGATTACAAGAAACATTAAAGTTAAAGTGTCTGGTATTTTAGCACTTCTCTATATGCTATGTGCTATCTCCTACAGAAAGAGGAGGAACGACTGCGAGCATCTATACGTAGAGAGAGTCAACAACGCAGGATACGAGAACGGAGTCACGCACGGGGCCTGACGTCATCGTATCTGGAGGGAGGGGACGACGATGATGAGGACGAAGACGGAGAGATGATCTCACTGTCAGCCATCAAGAAGCAGTACAAGCAGGGTGTCAGAAGAGGTACGTGTTGCTATGGTTACGGAGAGAGTTGCCGTGGCTATCGAGTGACCATGTAGAAAACTGTAATCTGTTTAGCTTCACTCAGATAAGATTATCATCCGTGTATGATAGTGACTCCGAAAGAAAAACGTGCTCAGAATAGTCAGAATTGTACAATTGTCATGGATACAAGTTTTTTATATGTATGTATATGTAACACTGGAACAATCCTGGAGAGGGTGTGTTGTCATGGTTACTGGACAGTTATTCATGTTCTTCAGATCGGCAGAACATCTACTCGTCAGACAGCGATGATGCCTATGACTCTGATCACCGGAGTGGGAAGAAAGGCAAGGCCAGGATCGTGGAGAGCGATGAGGTGAGCAATGGATCTACATTTGATGATATAACTCTGGGGTAGCTTAGTGGTTGAAGTGTCTGCTCGTCATACTGAACACCCGGGTTCGATTCCCCACATGGGTACAATGATATTGTGATATTGCTGGAATGTTGCTAAAAGCGGCGTTAAACCATACTCAGTCACGTTATTATTATGAACTATGAGTGAGTGAAGGCAAAAGAACATTAGTAATATTTTCCTTTGATCAGGTGAAACAGTTCCTGACATCACAACAGTAGACTATCAATGGAACAAACACGCAAAGTCTCGATGAATTTGAAAACTTCCGTTATTATATTATTATGACTGTAATTTCCCCCCTGAACTGTCCCAGCACAGTGGTAAGGAGTCCTAGATTGAGTGCACGTGAGTGAGATTTACTTTTACGCAATATTCCAGCGAGGAACACCAAAAATGGGCTTCACACGTTGTACCTGTGTAGGGAATCAAACCGGCATCTTCACCATGGCGAGTGAACGCTTTAACCACTAGGCTACCCCACCATGCCCTAGATTAAGTGACACTGTGGTCTAGTTGTGTGGCACCAGCTGGCTTGATGGGACTTCTGGATTATTGAAGTCCGTTCTTGTGTGGGGCATTTGCCTTCCGGAATCTGTGTGCTAATCAAGGCTGGTAGGTCTGTTGGCGTATTGCTATAACAATCTGCATGTGGTTGTATTGTCTGGGTGCTGTTGCAGGAGGACTCTGGATCCGACACTGGTCCGAAGAAGAAGAAGGCTCGAATCGTAGACAGTGACGATGAAGAGGACGGGGGTCGGGGATCTGAGTCTGAGGGGGGTGAGGATGAAGGAAGAGGGGGGATGATGTTGATGTGGACAGTGACTGAGGAAGGGTTTGGGACAGGAAAGGGGTGTTGATTTTTTTTTTCCTTTGGGGGTTGGGATGTAGGAAGGGGGATAAGGGGTATAGAAAAGGGAGTGAGATAGAGTTTTCGGGATGAAGGGAGGGATGTTGATTGGGGGTTTGTTGATTCAGAGATCATGATAAATATTCAATTGAAGAGAAAGATCATTTGCCATATGTATTGTACATTTTGTCTAAAATAAAATTTTGCAAGTATGACTAACCGTGTTTGTGTTAGATGAGTGAGTCACTTCAGGTTTCACATTCGTCCACCCGCTAGAGACAGGCTAGATTTCTGATGGAGGGTCTAAATTTACACCCACCCAGCCAAATAGCCTGGTAACATTTTAGATAACATGTTTCATACATCTGAGTAATTTTCATTGGATTGTCTGGTCTGGTTAAATCCATTTTGGGCTGGTAATATTTTGAAGTTATCAATCCTGATGTCTGGCTGTGTTTTTGGCTTATTTAATACACTGCATTTGGCATAGTCTTCAACACCTTTACAACAAGTGTCCAACATGAAGAATGAATGAGACCTTATTTTCACGTATACAGCGGAGAATGTCCTACATTTTTACTGAGATCTGTATCACAACGTTCTGAGCTAATACATTTATTCAAATTTTACTTGGAAGTTCTCAGGAGTAACACAGTATGTTGTTAACTACTTAACCCATGGTGCTGAAGTGCCAGGAAACGTCCATTGTTTGCACTGCACGCTATAGTGCCACGCTTGAGAGTCTGTGATGAATAACTGTCAAGTCGACAGGCTCTAACTGCAATTGAACATACAAAATCAAGTCGCAGTCTGCCATTTCAGGTCAACTTGACAAGCTCTTGTTCTACGTTTACCATGCTGACACGTTTACCATGTTGGCATTTGAATGAATCACACTGATATGGGAGGTGAAGTAATGAAGACGGATTTGACAGCACATTACACAAGTACCATCCTGACATCCAGGGTGGTCAAACCATGTAATCTGGAGGTCCACCAAATACACCCAGTACGTAGGATATGGTTTCAGACGGAAGCATGGTGAAACAGCGACATCACTCCTTTCTACACAGAAATACTGTGTTTATGACAAGAAAGGGTCTGATTGTGTCTGTCACAACAGAATACTCCTAAAACTACTTAACTTCCGTGTGCAGGGGAACCTGATATATCAATGTCAGTCATGTCACGAAATACGTTGTCAGATATCCAATCAGATGTGCTGTAAGACAATGATAATTGTGTTTTGACGATTTGGTAAGCTTCTCAGTCATCCCAAAACAAGGTGTTAAACTTGCACGTGACCACTTCTCTTTGGTCTTACTCAAGGGATGACTTCACTCTCATAATCTCAACAAGTACTGATGTGCGTGTGTATGCCTTTACGTGTGTGCGCCTGTACGTGTGGGTGTGTGTATGCCTTTACGTGTGTGCGCCTGTACGTGTGGGTGTGTGTATGCCTTTACGTGTGTGCGCCTGTACGTGTGGGTGTGTGTATGCCTTTACGTGTGTGCGCCTGTACGTGTGGGTGTGTGTATGCCTGTAATTGTGGGTGTGTTGCAGATGATGATGAGAAATTCAGGGAAAATTTGACAATTTATTCCATTCCTTTGGAAATGTTTCATCTGTATGGATATATATTACTTTTAATCATATGCATTGGCATTGGCTAGGGGTATGCTCGCAAAATGAAATATCCCCTACTTTTTTTTAATGGTATATGTCAGGTGGCAAGAGGCAGGTTCACAAGAGAACATCCTTCGGTCCATATGAATTATGGTGGACTAGCTGCCATGTCACTGTAGATAGCAATGAAGAAAGTGAATTGTTTGAAGCCAGCTGCGAGTTAAAACTGCAGCGACTACATTAACGAATCTTTGGGACTAGACGTGAATTCCAACCTAATATGTTCCTTTATCACTCGGAGTCCACGAAGACAGCCAGAGTCTGTCACGGCAAGTTGTAGGCAAGATACAGTGGACGTACAGCCATAACTCAATGTGCCTCCAACGTGTATACTGTGGTCAAATATGTCCGAGACAGAAGTCACTTCAACCAAACTACATGAGCCCTCCGTGTTGAAGGTACATGTGAGATCTCCGGCAATAGTCGGATACGAGGACGTGGTCCCAGACAGAAGTCACTTCAACCAAACTATAGTATGACCAGAAATTATTGTGAATTTTAGGAATATGTTTAATTGGATTTCTAGTATAAACAACCTTGACCAGCTATCAAGTGCTTGGTTTCATTCAAGAGAGACAACTCCGTTAATCCGTTCTCATTAGTTTGTGAAGAGTTATCCCCCTTTGTTTACTTGCTAGCAGGCGACATTTTCAGTGATCCTCAGCATGGATGATTTAGAGAAGTGGAAGTTGATTTTAGAGTATTATAACAAGGCCATCAGATCAGCTAAAGTGATTTCAAGTAGAACAGGCATCCCTTTGTCCACTGTTTATCGTGTTTTGAAAAATGTTGCAAATGGATATGGCATTGAGCACCAGGGAGGTGCAGGTAGGCCCAGAAAATTGACTGTCGGTGACAGGATGCGGCTTGGTATTCTTGTTTCTAAAAACAAACGAAGGAGTTTAGAATTCATAAGGCTGGATATGATTGATAGAGGAACTGTGGCTGTCTGTAAGGAGACAATTAGAACTGAGCTGCATGCAATGGGTTGGCAGAAAAGTCGAGGAATTCCATCACCGATCATGAAACCTGAACAAAAGGAGCGAAGGTTGAACTGGTGCTTACAGCATAGAAATTCTAACACGGACAATGTGATTTTCTCAGATGAAAGTTCTGTGTGGCTGTTTCCTAAATTGAAATTCTGGACCAAACAAACTGAAAAACCTTTGTATCAGCGCCCAAAGTACAGTCCGAAATTTAACGTGCGGGGTGGCATATCTGTGTTAGGGGCAACGCCCCTCTGTGTATTTGAAGGGAATATGAACAGTGAGCGGTACACAGATATTCTCGAGTGACATTTACTTCCATCTTCTCACGTGTTTTTATGGACATTTTTGGATTTTCCGGCAGGGCAACGACCCAAAACATCGTTCAAAGCATTCACAGGCCTGGTTTCGGACCCAATACTAGTATATGACATTATTAGATTGGCCAAGCTATAGCCCTGACCTAAATCCAATAGAAAATATTTGGGGACTTATGAAGGAAAGTGTCAATAATAAAAATCTGACAAATATTGCTGAAATGAAAGAAGAGGTGGTCCGATATTGGGACAGCATGGACCACGACTTTCTAACTTCTTTGATCAGTAGTATGCCCCGCCGCATTGAAGAGTGAATTGCTGCTTATGGTGACTTGACAAAATACTAACTGTTCACCTGTCTTTGAATAAACAATTACAATCTTCTCAATAATTTCTGGTTGTACTGTACATGAGCCCTCCGTGTTGAAGGTACATGTGAGATCTCCGGCAATAGATTCAAGGACGTTGTCCATGACGGCTGCTATTAACAAAATGCAGCAGATATTCCTTGGGACGCTGTGAATATTCAGTCACATATTGCCTTACTGAAAGTATGAATTATGATGTACAAGATATCACTGCACCAAACAATCCAACCACGGATGTGTAAATCCGTTTATTACCTACGAGGGCGAAAATATCGGGTTTCATATTTTTCATACGATGCCTTAGGGCAAAATATCACTTTGTCATGGTGACGTGACGTCATGAACAATGCTTTGACGTCACGTTTCTTCTGTGACGTTATGTTCTAGCCAGCCTGTGTTTGAAAGTAGATTTGGGTTTATTTCCCTCAATTTGACGACTTCTATAATTAACAGAATATTATATTCGTGCCCATATCATATTATGTTTACGACACTCGTGCCTAAATATCAGTATATCCCTGGCTCTCGCTCGGGAAATACCAACATTTAGACACTCGTGTCATAAACATAGTATGATATGGGCACTCATATAATATCCTCTATGTGTTTGAAAATTAGATGAATGTTAGACCGAATTGATTTTCATTTTCTCTAATTTTCATTTGAAGCCGAACACGTAGGTACCTTTCGTATTTTGTTTAACACTGCCACTTAAAAATATTCTGTCCAAAGAAAACAAACTACCGTTTATTCAATGTCAATAACACAGGGGGTATTCGACTGTACATGAAAACCGGATGTTGCACTTTTTCACGATAACACAACACAACACTATTTATTGACATGTCTGCAATATCGCCCTTAAACTGACAAGTTTAATCAAACCCAGGAGCAATATAACAACTGGGCCTGACATCGCCATTCTCTCTAACAAACAAACAGACTTCACTAAACGCAAGCTCACCGAAGCCATCCACATCAAACGCCAAAAGACCACCATCAACCGAGACCAAGGATACTTCCTTCCATCCGCTTATGATGCACTCATCCACCTAGCCCAATCTACTGTATAAACTCTGCTGTATAAACATCTCATTATTATTTGTACATCATTGGCTTCCACGCCTGTCCTTTGTCTACTCTCTGGCTTCATCAGCTTTCTGCCTAGCCAATTATGTTAATTATGTTGTTTTCTTTCTTACATTGTTACATCCAGTATATATATACTTCCCCCTTCTTCATGTTCCGTTATGCTTGACAACGGTACAAGAATCTGTATCGAAACGTCGCACTCACGAATAAAAAGAAGTTGTTATCCATAAAGTTTGTTCTATATTGAACTGGGACTGTGTTTGTAGCTGTGAATCTATGACCACTGCCATGAGATAACACACTATAACACCTATTGCCATGTGATAACAAACTACAACACCTATTGCCATGTGATAACAAACTACAACACCTATTGCCATGTGATAACAAACTACAACACCTACTGTCATGTGATAACAAACTATAACACCTACTGTCATGTGATAACAAACTATAACACCTACTGTCATGTGATAACAAACTGTAACACCTACTGTCACAAACTGTCATGTCATGTGATAACAAACTGTAACACCTACTGTCATGTGATAACAAACTGTAACACCTACTGTCATGTGATAACAAACTGTAACACCTACTGTCATGTGATAACAAACTATAACACCTACTGTCATGTGATAACAAACTATAACACCTACTGTCATGTGATAACAAACTGTAACACCTACTGTCATGTGATAACAAACTATAACACCTACTGTCGTGTGATAACAAACTATAACACCTACAGCCATGTGATAACAAACTATAACACCTACTGTCGTGTGATAACAAACTATAACACCTACAGCCATGTGATAACAAACTATAACACCTACTGTCATGTGATAACAAACTATAACACCTACAGTCATGTGATAACAAACTATAACACCTACCTATAACTGTCATGTGATAACAAACTATAACACCTACTGTCATGTGATAACAAACTATAACACCTACTGTCATGTGATAACAAACTATAACACCTACTGTCATGTGATAACAAACCATAACACCTACTGTCATGTGATAACAAACTATAACACCTACAGCCATGTGATAACAAACTATAACACCTACTGTCATGTGATAACAAACTATAACAGCTACAGCCATGTGATAACAAACTATAACACCTACTGTCATGTGATAACAAACTGTAACACCTACTGTCATGTGATAACAAACTATAACACCTACTGTCATGTGATAACAAACTATAACACCTACTGTCATGTGATAACAAACTATAACACCTACCACCATGCTGTAGAACTTTATGAGAGACGAAGGTATCTCCATCAGTAGAAAATATATCTGCTTTAGGTTGTTTTACGCCGCACCCAGCAACATTCCTTCAATATGGCGGCGGTCTGTAAATAATCCAGTCTGGACCAGACAATCCAGTGATTACAGCATGAGTATCGATCTACGTAACTCGGATACGATGAGATGTGTCAGCGATCAATAGTGGATAGAAGTCCTACAGGACATGGGCATAGAAACCTGGACCTCACTGTACCTAAACACTCCAGGTCAATGATTTCTCTACATATTAGTGACATAAACTAACTCGCTTCATTCATTCAGTTCAATTTACTCAATCCATTTCATATAATTTTACTTCATTCTTTTCGCTCATTCAGTTTATGTCATGCATTCAATTATATTCATTCCATTTCATTTCACTCATTCACTGACCAAAAACCACCAACCCATCCGTATGTCCGTCAGTCCGCCCGAGACATTTTTGTTCAATCAGTGACTTGAAAACTATTGGTTGAATTTAGGAGAGCTGCAGAGCAGTTAATATTGTTAATATAGCGAGAGTTATTTGGTCATTATCCCGGCGTGTTGTAATTCACGAGTAAATATGTCACGAGTGACTGAATGAGTGAGTTTAGTTTTACGCCGCACTCAGCAATATTCCAGCTATATGGCGGCGGTGTGTAAATAATCGAGTCTGTACTAGAAAATCCAGTGATCAACAGCATGAGCATCGATCTCCGCAATTGGGGACCAGCCAGCAAGCCTGACCACCCGATCCCGTTAGTCGCTTCTTACGACAAGCATGGATTACTAAAGGTTCATTCTAACCCGGATCTTCACGGGTTTCGAGTGACTCCATGTTGTAATTCACATGTGAATGTGTCACGAGTGACTCCACATTGTAATCCACGTGTGAATGTGTCTCGCGTGCCTCCATGTTGTAATCCACGTGTGAATGTGCCACGAGTGACTCTATGTTGTAATCCACGTGTGAATGTGTCACGAGTAGCTCCATATTGTAATCCACGTGTGAATGTGTCACGAGTGACTGCATGTTGTAATCCACGTGTGAATGTGCCACGAGTGACTCCATGTTGTAATCCACGTGTGAATGTGTCACGACTGACTCCATGTTGTAATCCATGTGTGAATGTGCAACGAGTGACTCCATGTTGTAATCCACGTGTGTATCGCGTGACTCGCAGCAGGAACAAAGAACAAGACATGTCAAAGACTACACTACTTTATACAGGAAGTAACAAAATGTCAAAACGAGGCTTCTTTTCTACAACGTATGGAGTCGAGTATTTACGGATGCAGTATATCTCGAGTAATTACGGATGCAGTATATCTCGAGTAATTACGGATGCAGTATATCTCGAGTAATTACGGATGCAGTATATCTCGAGTAATTACGGATGCAGTATATCTCGAGTATTTACGGATGCAGTATATCTCGAGTATTTACGGATGCAGTATATCTCGAGTATCTTCGGTTTACTTTGTGTGTTATGTTATACATCGCTTTGTGTCGTAATCGTAAAATATATCTGTGCTGTAAGACTTCTAACTAGTCCCGTCCTATAAACATTCAAGCCTAAACTGTACTCGTATCGACAGACGAGGATAAACATTCAACGTGTCAGTGGTGTACTGACAGACACAGGCATGATTGTGTAGGTGCATCATGAGACACACGGTAGAGTACCAGTCAAGATGTACTGACAGACAAACACGTCAATCTAAGCCACAACAACAGACTGATTTCAGCGTCAGTGAAATTCCGTTACCAACTTATAACGTTGTGTAAGCCATAGTTAGATCGGATATGACAATAGTTACCTTGCTGTCAACATAATGAAGTATATAAGTTGGTGCTGTGAGATATGACAACAGATACCTTGCTGTCAACATAATAAAGTATATACGTTGGTGCTGTGAGATATGACAATAGATACCTTGCTGTCAACATAATGAAGTATATAAGTTGGTGCTGTGAGATATGACAATATATACCTTGCTGTCAACATAATGAAGTATATAAGTTGGTGCTGTGAGATATGACAATAGATACCTTGCTGTCAACATAATGAAGTATATAAGTTGGTGCTGTGAGATATGACAATAGATACCTTGCTGTCAACATAATGAAGTATATAAGTTGGTACTGTGAGATATGACAATAGATACCTTGCTGTCAACATAATGAGGTATATAAGTTGGTGCTGTGAGATATGACAATATATACCTTGCTGTCAACATAATGATGTATATAAGTTGGTGCTGTGAGATATGACAGTATATACCTTGCTGTCAACATAATGAAGTATATAAGTTGGTGCTGTGAGATATGCCAGCATGGTAAATAACAATGGTTAACACAGATATTTATCCAGTATGGTATATTCATGGGAATGGTTTGATTGTGCACATAAACCCTTAGACGAAACAGGGGACAGCGGGGTATACAATGGGTTGAATAACGTCTGAAGTCACTTAATGCCTATTTTTACACGAAACGTTATCTCCCCTACACTGTGCAGGAGCTGCTGAAAATGTCTTGTACAAGTACTCATTACATTGGACAATATATACAATGGAAGATGAGTTATCTCCCCTACACTGTACTGGAGCTGCAGAAAACGTCTTGTACAGGTACTCATCACATGAAAGCATGTACACAATGCAAGGTGGGTTATCTCCCCTTCACTATGCTGGAGCTGCAGAAAACGTCTTGTACAACTACTTGTCACATTAGACAGTGTATATAATAGAGGTATCTACAAATCAACTACACATTGCTGGACCTGTGGAAAATGTGTTAAGGCATCCCAGTACACAGACTGGAAACATAAGGTGAGGAGTTATCTCCCTTATGCTGTTGTGGAGAACATCCTGTAACTTATCCCGCACGCTGGAGGGTGGTACTCCAGAATCTCAACCTCTGTCGCAGTTGTGGAGGTCATCAGGGAGGTCACTGACATACACAGTGTCGTTACAAGTTGACGACACTCTGGTACAAGAGAGTTACCTCCCCTACACCCCGTGGCGTCTTCTCATTGTGCTGCTTCGTCAGTGTCGATACTGTACGGTGTGACTTGCGATGTGACCAGCCGCGTAACATCCGGTGTGATCTTCATCATGATCTTCGATGTTATCGGAATCGTTCCTGGGAAATACACAGACATATTGTCAGATGGTTTTATCAAGCACGCTTCTGTGTCTGAGCGTCACATTAAATGAATGAGTTTGAGTCAGGTCCATCTTCAGAATTATACTGCTGACACCGCTCAACGACCCTGATAGTCTCCTGTCATTTACTCTCTTGTAGCCATGGCGCGACTACTCTCTATAAAGTTGAAGTAATTACTCTCTGGCGTTACTCTACAAATGAACTACATGTGTATAGAAAACTATGTCTGTGTCTCTGTGTGTGCTTGTATGTGTGCTTGCATCTGTGTGTGTCCCTGTCTGTGTGTATGTGTGTATCTCTGTGTGTTTGTGGTTCTGCAATACGTCTCTCACCGTCTGGCTGTCCTACAAAGGCGGCCAGGACCGTTTCGGCAGAGACTCCACGCTGAGAGGTCGATCTTTCAACTGAGGCAGAAGAGGTTGTGACCGTTTGCTGTTCAGTCAGTTGTTTTGTCACGACCGACCTCTTCGTGGTCACACCTGGAACAGATTGTTGGTAAAGATGAACACCATCAGAAAGATAGCTTTTCTCTAACGATTGTCTTTCATACATTATGGCTCACCTGAAGTGTGATGGGTGCTCTGCTGCTGGCGTGGGATCTGTTTGTTTACAGTGGGATAAACTTGTGCTGACTGTTCAGTTGATGGAGGTAGCTTCTGTTGAGTAGAGGTTGTTCTGTGCTGAGGTGAGCCAGTATTGTGTTGTGCAGACTTGGTGCTGTGTTCAGTAGAGGTCGCTCTGGGAGGAGAGACAGTCGTATGTCGAGTAGACTTGGTGCTTTGTTGTAGAGAGAAGCCCCTCAGGCGCTTGATGTGTGATGCGTCAGTGTCTTGTACCTGCCCAATTGTGGATGTTCCATTAAGTTGTTGTGATGTTCCGTCAGGTTGACGTGATGTTCCATTAAGTTTTTCTGATGTTCCGTTTGTCTGGCGTGGTGTTCCATCGAGTTGTTTTGATGTTCCATTTGTCTGGCGTGGTGTTCCATCGAGTTGTTTTGATGTGCCATTTGTCTGGCGTGGTGTTCCATCGAGTTGTTTTGATGTTCCATTTGTCTGTTTTGATGTTCGTGGTGTTCCATCGAGTTGTTTTGATGTTCCATTTGTCTGGCGTGGTGTTCCATCGAGTTGTTTTGATGTTCCATTTGTCTGGCGTGGTGTTCCATCGAGTTGTTTTGATGTTCCATTTGTCTGGCGTGGTGTTCCATCGAGTTGTTTTGATGTTCCATTTGTTTTGATGTTCCATTTGTCTGGCGTGGTGTTGCATTAGGCTCGAGTTGTGTTCCCTGATGCTGCCTGTCACCTGGTGTTGCCCTCTCCTGATGTCTAGGGGTATCATGCCAGGTGGCTGTGACACGGACTCCAACATACAATGTCTGCGGCGTAGACGTCGTTCGTCGCGCGACGTGCCCTGGCCGTGGTGTTGTCACCGGCGAGGTGTCTGTTGACATTCTGCCCAGTTGCCGCTTTTCAATGTCGGAGTAAGACAGTGTTGAGTAGCTGAGTACGGGAGACGCCGGCCCCAGCACACCACCAGAGTAACGGGCCTTGACCTTTATCCGGTAGGTGGCGTTATAGTTTAGGCCAATCAGTAGACACGATAGAGATTCCTCGGTCTTTTCCTCCCAAACTGCCTCACTGTTGTCGGCCGCCGTCGTGTACAGAACAACATAACCTGTGCAAACCGAAACATGAGTCTCATTTACCAATTCCGACAATGACCTACTTCTCAGACAATCCGAATTTTCTCGTGTGAAAGTGAAAATGGACACTACCAACAGCTACGGTTACACTAGATTCCAATTCATTGTTTCGTAAGAAAATGGTATTTACAAGTTAAATTTAATTTTAGAGTTAAAAATATCGTATTTCTATATTTTATGTCGAAGTTTAGGCAGCATGTCGTTAACTAAGACGTCCCAGACCGCCCCTGTTTGAAGAGGCCGTACAATGATTCATACTTCATCTGGCTCACTGGCTATACCTGTTTTGTGTTCTTTGCGCTTATTAAGTGTATTTTTGTAACGTACAAAGTGATTGATATATCAAGTCCGTACCAGACCACCAAACTTTTCTAGCGGCCGAGCCTCGTTTTGAGATTTCCACGATATCCAGATTTCTGTCTGTCAGAGCACGCTGTATGACAGAGCACGCTGCACGACGTGTTTGCAAGGATTAGGAGGAGCGTAGTGTTGTAATATACAAGTGATTATATGTATCAAATAATACTGATTACAATTTATATATCCAGTTGAATTAGTTATTGTAAGTGGCGCAACAGGACGGAACCCAGTCAGCAGGAAGCGAGACTGTTGTGTGATCAATGTTTTGACTTGGACAATACCAGACGGTGTCAGTACAACACAATCTGTGACAATACCAGACGGTGTCAGTACAACACAATCTGTGACAATACTAGACGGTGTCAGTCCAACATAATCTGTGACAATACCAGACGGTGTGAGTACAACATAATGTGTGACAATACCAGACGGTGTCAGTACAACATAATCTGTGACAATACCAGACGGTGTCAAGACAACATAATCTGTGACAATACTAGACGGTGTCAGGACAACATAATCTGTGACAATACTAGACGGTGTCAGTCCAACATAATCTGTGACAATACTAGACGGTGTCAGTCCAACATAATCTGTGCCAATACCAGACAACACAATCTGTGACAATACCAGACGGTGTCAGTACAACATAATCTGTGACAATATCAGATAATGTCAGTACAAGATAATCTGTGACAATACCAGACGGTGTCAATACACTATCATCTGTGACGAAAATCAGACTTTATCTGTACAACATAATTTAATCTGAACCTTACCAGTCACAGATCGCACTTAACTGTAGTTAAATATTACACAGAGACACGTATAAAGTATATTGTACATAAAGACACCCACTGACTATAGGACCAGATGGCACTACCGGCGGAGACCACGTGACTTCCACGGTGGTTGACTTGCTTCCATAGAGAGGATGGAGGCTGATGTCACTAGGAGCGGTCCGGGGATCTGGAACGTAGAAACATTCTCATGTGACTTGTTTCCATGGAGATAGGGGATGTGCCCGCCTGTGCCTGAGGTCTACGTGACTCTCTCTGACACGAAGATGTACCTACCTTCAGACAGACCCTACTTTACTCTCTGACACGAAGATGTATAGTATGACCAGAAATTATTGAGAATTTTAGGAATATGTTTAACTGGATTTCTAGTATAAACAACCTTGACCAGCTATCAAGTGCTTGGTTTCATTCAAGAGAGACAACTCCGTTAATCATTTTTCATTAGTTTGTGAAGAGTTACCCCCCTTTGTTTACTTGCTAGCAGACGACATTTTCAGTGATCCTCAGTATGGATGAGTTAGAGAAGAGGAAGTTGATTTTAGAGTATTATAACAAGGCCATCAGATCAGCTAAAGTGATTTCAAGTAGAACAGGCATCCCTTTGTCCACTGTTTATCGTGTTTTGAAACATATTGCAAATAGATATGGCACTGAGCACCAGGGAGGCGTAGGTAGGCCCAGAAAATTGACTGTCGGTGACAGGAGGCGGCTTGGTATTCTTGTTTCTAAAAACAAACGAAAGTGTTTAGAAAACTTAAGGCTGGATATGATTGATAGAGGAACTGCTGTCTGGAAGGAGACAATTAGAACTGAGCTGCATGCAATGGGTTGGCAGAAAAGTCGAGGAATTCCATCACCGATCATGAAACCTGAACAAAAGGAGCGAAGGTTGAACTGGTGCTTACAGCATAGAAATTTTAACTGGGACAATGTGATTTTCTCAGATGAAAGTTCTGTGTGGCTGTTTTTCCTAATACACTGAAATTCTGGACCAAACAAACTGAAAAACCTTTGTATCAGCACCCAAAGTACAATCCGAAATTTAACGTGTGGGGTGGCATATCTGTGTTAAGGGCAACGCCCCTCTGTGTATTTGAAGGGAATATGAACAGTGAGCGGTACACAGATATTCTCGAGGGACATTTACTTCCATCTTCTCACGTGTTCTATGGAAACTTTTTTTTGATTTTCCAGCAGGACAACGACCCAAAACATCGTTCAAAGCATTTACAGGCCTGGTTTCGGACCCAAAATATGACATTATTAGATAGGCCAAGCTATAGCCCTGACATAAATCCAATAGAAAATGTTTAGGGACTTTTGAAGGAAAGTGCCAATAAGAAAAATCTGACAAATATTGCTGAAATGAAAGAAGAGTTTACAATCACAATCTTAAATTCTCAATAATTTCTGGTTGTACTGTACCTACCTTCAGACAGAGTGTACGTGACTCTCTGACACGAAGATGTACCAACCTTCAGACAGAGCGTACGTGACTCTCTGACACAAAGATGTACCTACCTTCAGACAGAGCGTACGTGACTCTCTGACACGAAGATGTACCAACCTTCAGACAGAGTGTACGTGACTCTCTGACACGAAGATGTACCTACCTTCAGACAGAGCGTATGTGACTCTCTGACATGAAAACGTACCAACCTTCAGACAGAGTGTACGTGACTCTCTGACACGAAGATGTACCAACCTTCAGACAGAGCGTACGTGACTCTCTGACATGAAAACGTACCAACCTTCAGACAGAGCGTACGTTATTCTCTGACACGAAGATGTACCGACCTTCAGACAGAGCGTACGTTATTCTTTGACACGAAGATGTACCATCCTTCAGACAGAGCGTACGTTATTCTCTGACACGAAGATGTACCATCCTTCAGACATGACTCAGTCTGTCACAATGATTTACCAACCTTCAGGCGGAGAGTACGTGACTCTCTCCGACAGGGGGCTGGTGCCAGCTGAGTTCCGAGACTGGATGTGGAAGTAATACTTTGTATGTGGCTTCACTTTCTGCACGCGCATCGAGTCACGTGATCCAGGCCACACCGTCAGATCCCAGTCCCTGATGTTCAGACTCGGATCAGTGGCTGCGTAGATCAGGAACCCTGGAAGGACAATACATGGATTTCGTTTAACATGACGTGTCATGATGACACAGTTGGAACTATTTTCTGGAAGTGTAAACTCTATATGATTGGTACCTACCGTTCACCGCAGTTTTCGGAGGTATCCAGGTCAAGGTCAAGGTTGTGTGGGTAACAGGGTCAGAGGTCACTGTCAGGTTGGACGGCGATGTTGGGACTGAAGAAAGATGTATACTCGCGGTAACAACATAATGTATCATGTGGTAGGTGTGGTGCCAACCTTAAACTGGCTTGTTACAGGAGGGAATGGGGTGTTGTACTCAGATATATGGTGTGTTTGTTGTACACGGGTTTATCATCTTATGGTGGGTGTTTGTTGTACACGGGTTTATCATCTTCTAGAGGGTGTTTGTTGTACACGGGTTTATCATCTTATGGATGGTGTTTGTTGTACACACGTTTACATCTTATGGTTTTTGTTGTACACGGGTTTACATCTTATGGAGGTGTTTGTTGTACACGGGTTTATCATCTTATGGTGGGTGTTTGTTGTACACGGGTTTATCATCTTATGGATGGTGTTTGTTGTACACAGGTTTACATCTTATGGAGGTGTTTGTTGTACACGGGTTTATCATCTTATGGATGGTGTTTGTTGTGCACAGGTTTACATCTTATGGTGGGTGTTTGTTGTACACGGGTTTATCATCTTATGGTGGGTGTTTGTTGTACACAGGTATATCATCTTACGGTGGGTGTTTGTTGTACACGGGTTTATCATCTTATGGAGGGTGTTTGTTGTACACGGGTTTATCATCTTATGGAGGGTGTTTGTTGTACACGGGTTTATCATCTGATGGGTGGTGTTTGTTGTACACGGGTTTATCATCTGATGGAGGGTGTTTGTTGTACACGGGTTTACCATCTTATGGGTGGTGTTTGTTGTACACGGGTTTATCATCTTATGGAGGGTGTTTGTTGTACACGGGTTTATCATCTTATGGTGGGTGTTTGTTGTACACGGGTTTATCATCTTATGGAGGGTGTTTGTTGTACACAGGGTTTATCATCATCTTCCTATGGTGGGTGTTTGTTGTACACGGGTTTATCATCTTATGGTGGGTGTTTGTTGTACACGGGTTTATCATCTTATGGAGGGTGTTTGTTGTACAGGGGTTTATCATCTTATGGGTCGTGTTTGTTGTACACAGGTTTATCATCTTATGGTGGGTGTTTGTTGTACATGGGTTTATCATCTTATGGTGGGTGTTTGTTGTACACGGTTTATCATGTTATGGAGGGTGTTTGTTGTACACGGGTTTATCATCTTATGGTGGGTGTTTGTTGTACACGGGTTTATCATCTTATTGTGGGTGTTTGTTGTACACGGGTTTATCATCTTATAGTGGTTGTTTGTTGTACACAGGGTTATCATCTTATGGTGGGTGTTTGTTGTACACGGGTTTATCATCTTATGGTGGGTGTTTGTTGTACATGGGTTTATCATCTTATGGATGGTGATTGTTGTACACAGGTTATCATCTTATGGAGGGTGTTTGTTGTACACGGGTTCATCATCTTATGGTGGGTGTTTGTTGTACACAGGTTTATCATCTTATGGAGGGTGTTTGTTGTACACGGGTTCATCATCTTATGGTGGGTGTTTGTTGTACACGGGTTTATCATCTTAAGGAGGGTGTTTGTTGTACACAGGTTTATCATCTGATGGAGGGTGTTTGTTGTACACAGGTTTATCATCTTATGGTGGTGTTTGTTGTACACGGGTTTATCATCTTATGGTGGGTGTTTGTTGTAAAGAGGTTTATCATCTTATGGATGGTGTTTGTTGTACACGGGTTTATCATCTTATGGATGGTGTTTGTTGTACACGGGTTTACCATCTTATGGTGGGTGTTTGTTGTACACGGGTTTATCATCTTATGGTGGCTGTTTGTTGTACACGGGTTTATCATCTTATGGTGGTGTTTGTTGTACACGGGTTTATCATCTTATGGAGGGTGTTTGTTGTACACGGGTTTATCATCTTATGGTGGTGTTTGTTGTACACGGGTTTATCATCTTATGGTGGGTGTTTGTTGTACACAGGTTTATCATCTTATGGTGGGTGTTTGCTGTACACGGGTTTATCATCTGATGGGTGGTGTTTGTTGTACACGGGTTTATCATCTTATGGTGGGTGTTTGTTGTACACGGGTTTATCATCTTATGGAGGTTGTTTGTTGTATACGGGTTTATCATCTTATGGTGGGTATTTGTTGTACACGGGTTTATCATCTTATGGTGGGTGTTTGTTGTACACGGGTTTATCATCTTATGGTGGGGGTGTTTGTTTATCATCTTATGGTGGGTGTTTGTTGTACACGGGTTTATCATCTTATGGTGGGTGTTTGTTGTACACGGGTTTATCATCTTATGGTGGTGTTTGTTGTACACGGGTTTATCATCTTATGGTGGGTGTTTGTTGTACACGGGTTTATCATCTTATGGTGGGTGTTTGTTGTACACGGGTTTATCATCTTATGGTGGGTGTTTGTTGTACACGGGTTTATCATCTTATGGTGGGTGTTTGTTGTACACAGGTTTATCATCTTATGGAGGGTGTTTGTTGTACACATCTTATGGAGGGTATTTGTCATCTTATGGAGGGTGTTTGTTGTACACGGGTTTATCATCTTATGGTGGGTGTTTGTTGTACACGGGTTTATCATCTTATGGTGGGTGTTTGTTGTACACGGGTTTATCATCTTATGGAGGTGTTTGTTGTACACACGGTTTATCATCTTATGGTGGGTGTTTGTTGTACACGGGTTTATCATCTTATGGTGGGTGTTTGTTGTACACGGGTTTATCATCTTATGGAGGGGTTTATCATCTTATGGTGGGTGTTTGTTGTACACGGGTTTATCATCTTATGGTGGGTGTTTGTTGTACACGGGTTTATCATCTTATGGTGGGTGTTTGTTGTACACGGGTTTATCATCTTATGGTGGGTGTTTGTTGTATCACATGGTGGTTTTGTTGTACACGGGTTTATCATCTTATGGAGGGTGTTTGTTGTACACGGGTTTATCATCTTATGGTGGGTGTTTGTTGTACACGGGTTTATCATCTTATGGTGGGTGTTTGTTGTACACAGGTTTATCATCTTATGGTGGGTGTTTGCTGTACACGGGTTTATCATCTTATGGAGGGTGTTTGTTGTACACGGGTTTATCATCTTATGGAGGGTGTTTGTTGTACACGGGTTTATCATCTTATGGTGGGTGTTTGTTGTACACGGGTTTATCATCTTATGGAGGGTGTTTGTTGTACACGGGTTTATCATCTTATGGTGGGTGTTTGTTGTACACGGGTTTATCATCTTATGGAGGGTGTTTGTTGTACACGGGTTTATCATCTTATGGGTGGTGTTTGTTGTATACGGGTTTATCATCTTATGGTGGGTATTTGTTGTACACGGGTTTATCATCTTATGGTGGGTGTTTGTTGTACACGGGTTTATCATCTTATGGTGGGTGTTTGTTGTACACGGGTTTATCATCTTATGGTGGGCGTTTGTTGTACACGGGTTTATCATCTTATGGAGGGTGTTATCTGTGCAAGAAAACAATCTGATAAACTTGGTATCCAAATCTGACAACAATGCAAATTACGTCAATCCACGTAGTACTCTCACAAAACTCCATACTCGCCATCACACTCCGGCACAGCGATGACTTAACATAACATCACTGCCACAGGCTAATTTGCATATCACGTGACCGATCTTTTCTCTTGTTTGTAAACAAACGCGCATATTCATAATAAGAAGATACTCGCCTTACGGAAGTTTTTCTTTGCGCACTTTACAATGTTTTACATTGTTACATATATATTCTTCCACAACTGCGACAGTAACATTTATTACAGTACATATTTAGGTATCAAACTGGTTGCATCGTTTGCTCTCTGTTGGCTTCGATGACAGCACTTGGAGCCGTACAACCTACGTAAACAAAGCATCGCTACGCAAATCGAAATAGTGTTAAATGTTTTAGGATATTTTCTCAGTGAAACTAAGCCATTCTATCAAAGATGTTTAATTAGATGTTTAGGCTCGTCAAAAATAAAAGAGTTAAGAAATCTGTACATTATATTGAATGGACGGTGCAAGATGTGACGAATCGTCACATTTTTCTGGCCCGTGGCAGAGGTACTATGCTGGCTGGCCGCATGGAACTCTGGGTAGGAGATTGACTCGCCATGAGAATTCTAAAACGTTAACATTTCATTAATGACGTCGTCGCGAGTTTACATTGCGTGGCCGATTTTGCAAACAAACATGGCTGCCCCATTATCAAAATTGATGATTCTGTAAGAATTGATGACAGAGGTTCTGGAGTGGAAAAACATGAAACGGAGTACTTTGTTCAAATTGAAGGTACGGATTATGAGGACGAGTGACAAACTATTTCTATCTATCGATCACAACAAAACAGAAGACGAATGGATTCCGTCAGGTATCAGAGACTGATATTGATGACGTCACAACCATATACCGCCGTGTTGAACGACCTTCACCTTGGTGTACCGCTAAGTATTCTTACGCGGATGCTCGATTCTCTTCATATAAATTCACGTACGATTTGCTTCTTTTCCTAGAGTAATCTTAAAGGTCACATGCAACCAAAAATTCAAACATATTTAAAACACAATTATCACTTATTCATGACATATAATATACATTGCTGGTTATGAAAAAACATAAAAACAAAATTATAAGCGTACAATCGCAAATCAAAAGTGCAATATTTTGTACTTGGGTTTACTTCACTAGAAACGAAGCAGCCGGGATACCGAACCCAGTCAGAGCGGGTGGGTGTGCTCTCAAATGTAACGGCTGGTTCATTTGCAGATGCCCTCACGGCTCATTGTGTGTGTAAATATAGAGATGTTAGGTTGGGTGACTCGGTAAGAAGAACATGTGGTGAAATAGACAAATGAAATTATATAAACAGTTAAATCGGTAATCTACTGTAATAACATATAAACAGCTCGCGCCTGTGAAATATCAACAAAACATTAGAAAAATAGCTCGCACCAAAGCCTTCACCGAATATTCACCGGACAAACCGCTTCCATGCTCCGCGAACCTATTTCACTGCGCATGTGCTATGAGCGCAGCCCAGCTGTTGAAACCACTTCAATTCCCCAAAGCGCTGGGGGAAAGTTAGTGAATCGTTTGAACTACGATTTCGCGCGGTTTTTTTCATCGCCTTATTTTTCAACTTTATAAGTTGAATTTGCATTTTTGATGATTTGTTCCGGTAAGTCCATACCGAAAGGTATCAGAATCTGCAAAGTTGTGTTTTACGTTGCATGTGACCTTTAAGAATGGCATTATATGATGAAGAGATTATTAACCTCGTATGTTTCCGTATCATTTATATCATTTATTAGGAAAAAAATTGGCATTATGCCTTTAATAGTCTCTATGTATGCTGACCTGTTTGGAATGTGTTGTTGTACACGGGTAGGCTCCAGCCCGTCTCCTTGCTTCCCCTCAGGGCCTTGACGGCGAACTCGTACTTTGTGCCGGCGTGAAGGTTGTCGATGGTGACAGGGATACCCGAGGTGTTCAGATACTGATACTCCGACTCCTCCAGGGCCGAGAACCGGATCAGGAAGTAGATGTCGCTTGTCACCTTCTTCTTGAGGTCAGGGGTCACGGTGTTCCACGTGATCTGGATCTGGCTGGCTGAGAGAGTGGCGGCTCGCATCTTCAGTGAGATTTTAATGGGAAGATCCTTGGGGTCCGCTGGGAATCAGAGCTGATGTGATTAGCTATCTGACTTTCTCAACACAAACTGTTGGTGAGCTAGGTTACATTATCTAGACGACATTACATGTATCTTGGACATTACATGGGTTATTTTAATCTGTGACATACCTTTGCCTGTCCTCCCTACGACGAATTTGGGCAAGCTCTCTCCGATGTTGTTGTATGCTCGGACGCTCACGATATATCCAGTGTCTGGCTCTGAACACAATACAACATATATGACACCCGGTGTTTGTTTCTGAACACAATACAACACATATGTCACCCGGTGTTTGTTTCTGAACACAATACAACATATATGACACCCGGTGTTTGTTTCTGAACACAATACAACACATATGTCACCCGGTGTTTGTTTCTGAACACAATACAACATATATGACACCCGGTGTTTGTTTCTGAACACAATACAACATATATGACACCCGGTGTTTGTTTCTGAACACAATACAACATATATGACACCCGGTGTTTGTTTCTAAACACAATACAACACATGTGTCACCCGGTGTTTGTTTCTGAACACAATACAACATATATGACACCCGCTGTCTGACTCTGAAGACAATATTCTAACTCAGGTAATAAATGATTTATTCTATACAATACTTAACAGTACGATTTGTAAAGAAACACACACGATTCATGACATTCTGGGAACACGATGCACAATTATTGAAGAGTTCGGTACATTATGTCTCAGTTCAGGAACATCTACTTCCAGAAAATAGATTCACTGTTCACACGTTGTACCTACCTAAATTTGTCAGCGTGAAGTTACGTGTGCCCGGGCTCAACACGTGGCGGTAGACCTCCGGAATGTAACGACCATACCCGAGGATGTACCCAAGTACTGGAACACCAATATCACGTGGTGGCTTCCACGTGACGTGTATTCGTGATGATGTCACATTGGTATCCATGGCAGCGGGACTAGCTGGTGGGCGTTGTTCTATCTTGTCTGTTCTCTCCATCGACCATGAAGAAGATGGACCAGTTCCTCTGATGTTCATCGCTGAAACCCTCACTCTATAGGCCGTTCCGGGCTCTAGATCTGGCAACACATTTGTCAAGTTCAAAACAACTCTCTCCTACAGCTGTCTGATTTGTGACATGTTCTCAACTCACACTTAAAGGTGTACCTGTCTAGTGACGTGTTCTTAGCTCACACTTAAAGGTGTACCTGTCTAGTGACGTGTTCTCAACTCACTCTTAAAGGTGTAGTTCCGTCTGCCGCCGGCAACATTGAAGCTGGCCATCCTCTTTCCCGCCTTCTTCTTCAGGACCAGCTTGTAGCCGGAGATTGGTCCGTTCTGATTTGCCTTGAGTGGAGGTTCCCAGTTGACCAGCAACGCCTGAAGCAGGGATCACTAAAACATTCTCACCGTGAAGATCAAATTGTTCAAATCGGTACAAACTGGTCTTCAGCAACCAATGCTTGTCGTAAAAAGCGCCTGACGGGATCGGTTGATCCGGCTTGGTTGACACATGTCATCGTATCCCAGATGTTGACCTCTGGATTGTCTGGTCCAGAACTCGATTATATACAGACCATCCCCACGTAACTGGAATATTGCTGAATGTCGTGTTAAACAACAAACAAAATCCTCCTGATTGCCCTTCTCAATCCTTTCCTGCTCCGTCACTTCCCTCATTCTCTTCAGTTTCTAGTGTCCCACCCTCCTACTCCGTGATACTGCTGGAATATTGCTGAAAACATCGTAAAACCAAACTCACTCACTCACACACCCATTCTCTTCAGTGACTCTTCCTCCAGTCCCTTTCCCACCCATTCTGACTCCTCCCCACCCCTCGGACTCCTCCCCACCCTTCTCGGACTCACCACCCACCCCTCGAACTTCCCTCCCAAAACCCTCGGACTCCATCACCTCCCCAGCCCTCCCCCTCGGACATCCTGCCTCCCCACCCCACCACACTGTGTGCCTCACCCCCAGAACGTACCGTAGCGTTAATGGCCGTCATGTCGACCTTCCTGGGAGGGGCGTCTGGACGGTCAATCATCGTGCTTGCATAGACAACGACGACCTCTCCGATCTGCTGGTCGTTATACGGTATGATCTCGAACCTGTACTTGCTGAACTTCCTGAGACTCCCCGCGATGTACTGTGTGTTGGGTATGTACAGTGTAGCCGATTGCTTGTCGCGCTTCCCCGGACGCCAGTACCTGACGTGGTAGTGTGTCACGTGACCCCGTGATGGTGCCAGCCACTGGACAAGGATCTCGGAGGACGACATAGGCGTGGTCGTTGCCCCGACAACAGGCCCCGGGCCAGCGTCTGCAGCGAAAACACAAACACGTGACTTGCTTGACTCATGTAATCGATTGCTCATGATGTCGATCACTGTATTGCCATGTCAAGAAACGGTTATTGACAGAGAGCCACCAATTAGCTGGAATGCCATGTCAAGAAATGGTTATTGACAGAGTGCCGCATACTAGCTGGATTGCCATGTCAAGAAACGGTTATTCACAGAGTGTCGCCAACTAGCTGGATTGCCATGTCAAGAAACGGTTATTGACAGAGTGCCGCCAACTAGCTGGATTGCCATGTCAAGAAACGGTTATTGACAGAGTGCCGCCAACTAGCCTGATTGCAATGTCAAGAAACGGTTATTGACAGAGTGCTGCCAACTAGCTGGATTGCCATGTCACGAAACGGTTATTGACAGAGTGCCGCCAACTAGCTGGATTGCCATGTCAAGAAACGGTTATTGACAGAGTGCCACCGATTAGCTGGATTGCCATGTCAAGAAATGGTTATTGGCAGAGTGCCACCGATGAGCTGGATTGCCATGTCAAGAAACGGTTATTGCCAGAGAGCCACCGATTAGCTGGATTGCCATGTCAAAAAATGGTTATTGACAGAGTGCCGCATACTACCTGGATTGCCATGTCAAGAAACGGTTATTGACAGAGTGTCGCCAACTAGCTGGATTGCCATGTCAAGAAACGGTTATTGACAGAGTGCCGCCAACTAGCTGGATTGCCATGTCAAGAAACGGTTATTGACAGAGTGCTGCCAACTAGCTGGATTGCCCTGTCAAGAAACGGTTATTGACAGAGTGCCACCGATTAGCTGGATTGCCATGTCAAGAAATGGTTATTGACAGAGTGCCACCGATAAGCTGGATTGCCATGTCAAGAAATGGTTATTGACAGAGTGCCACCGATTAGCTGGATTGCCATGTCAAGAAATGGTTATTGACAGAGTGCCACCGATTAGCTGGATTGCCATGTCAAGAAACGGTTATTGACAGAGTGCCACCGATTAGCTGGATTGCCATGTCAAGAAACGGTTATTGACAGAGTGCCACCGATTAGCTGGATTGCCCTGTCAAGAAACGGTTATTGACAGAGTGCCACCGATTAGCTGGATTGCCATGTCAAGAAACGGTTATTGACAGAGTGCCACCGATTAGCTGGATTGCCATGTCAAGAAATGGTTATTGACAGAGTGCCACCGATTAGCTGGATGGCATCAGTAAACAACAAACAAGCAAACAAGTGGTCAGTGCACAGATGAAACCTACAGAGGTAATTATATTATACAGACAAGTGGTGAGTGTATAGATGAACCCTACAGAGGTAATTATGTTACACAAACAAGTGGTCAGAGTACAGATAAAACCTCCAGAGGTAATTATGTTACACAAACAAGTGGTCAGTGTACAGATGAACCCTACAGAGGTAATTATGTTACACAAACAAATGGTCAGTGTACAGATGAACCCTACAGAGGTAATTATATTACACAGACAAGTGGTCTGTGTACACATGTAACCTACAGAGGTAATTATATTACACAGACAAGTGGCCAGTGTACAGATGAACCCTACAGAGGTAATTATATTACACAGACAAGTGGTCAGTATACAGGTGAACCCTACAGAGGTAATTATATTACACAGACAAGTGGTCAGTGTACAGATGAACCCTACAGAGGTAATTATATTACACAGACAAGTGGCCAGTGTACAGATGAAACCTCCAGAGGTAATTATATTACACAGACAAGTGGTCAGTGTACAGATGTAACCTACAAAGGTAATTATATTACACAGACAAGTGGTCAGTATACAGATGAACCCTACAGACGTAATTCTATTACACAGACAAGTGGTCAGTGTACAGATGAAACCTACAGAGGTAATTATATTACACAAACCTACAGAAGTAATTATGTTACACAAACCTACAGAGGTAATTATATTACACAGACAAGTGGTCAGTGTACAGATGTAACCTCCAGAGGTAATTATATTACACAGACAAGTGGTCAGTGTACAGATGAAACCTCCAGAGGTAATTATGTTACACAGACAAGTGGTCAGTGTACAGATGAACCCTACAGAGGTAATTATATTACACAGACAAGTGGTCAGTGTACAGATGTAACCTACAGAGGTAATTATGTTACGCAAACAAGTGGTCAGTGTACAGATGAAACCTCCAGAGGTAATTATATTACACAGACAAGTGGTCAGTGTACAGATGAACCCTACAGAGGTAATTATATAACACAAACCTACAGAGGTAATTATGTTACACAAACAAGTGGTCAGTGTACAGATGAACCCTACAGAGGTAATTATATTACACAAACCTACAGAAGTAATTATGTTACACAAACAAGTGGTCAGGGTACAGATGAAAGCTACAAAGGTAATTATATTACACAGACAAGCGGTCAGTGTACAGATGTAACCTACAGAGGTAATTATATTACACAGACAAGTGGTCAGTGTACACATGTAACCTACAGAGGTAATTATATTACACAGACAAGTGGTCAGTGTACAGATGTAACCTACAGAGGTAATTATATTACACAGACAAGTGGTCAGTGTACAGATGAACCCTACAGAGGTAGTTATATTACACAGACAAGTGGCCAGTGTACAGATGAACCCTACAGAGGTAATTCTATTACACAAACAAGTGGTCAGTGTACAGATGAAACCTCCAGAGGTAATTATGTTACACAGACAAGTGGTCAGTGTACAGATGTAACCTACAGAGGTAATTATATTACACAGACAAGTGGTCAGTGTACAGATGAACCCTACAGAGGTAATTATATTACACAGACAAGTGGCCAGTGTACAGATGAAATCTACAGAGGTAATTATATTACACAGACAAGTGGTCAGTGTACAGATGAAACCTCCAGAGGTAATTATATTACACAAACCTACAGAGGTAATTATGTGACAAAGACAAGTGGTCAGTGTACAGATGTAACCTACAGAGGTAATTGTGTTACACAAACAAGTGGTCAGTGTACAGATGTAACCTACAGAGGTAATTTTGTTACACAAACTGTTAAGACCTTCAGTCCTGGTGGTGACGGAGATGAAGCGACTGTCTCCCTGCTCATTGAAGGCCGCGACCATCACCCTGTACACCTGCCCAGAGGCTGAAACAGAGACACAAGTGCATACATGCCACTCCGTGGATGTTAAGGATCTGCTATTACTGGGGCGGTGAGGTGGCCGAGTGGTTAAAGCGTTTGCTCATCGCGCCGAAGTATATGGCTACAATTGCTGAAGCCCACTTTGGTGTCCCCCGCCGTGATATTGCTGGAATATTGCTAAAAGCTGCGTAAAAATTAATTCATTCACTCACTCACTTTCATATTGCCATAGTCAATATGTCATGCCGCATTACGTTCTAATGAGTGGTATGTATCTGCAAGTAAGTAAGTGAATAAAGTTTTGTGGCGCTTAAGTCAAGAATGGACACAAAATAACACTCCAGAAATACAGTTCTATATTGGAAATCCAAACTCTGCCTTCAATGCGAGTAGCACTTGGACCACTAGTCCACCTCGCCCCTTCACGGAATCTAAGATATATATCATGTCTCCCAACTCACCCAAGTTCCCCAACGTGTAAGTCAACAGTCTGTCGGGAACACGCACTTCCCTCTCGGGGAATCCCCTCACCAGCCCCATCTGGTACCTGACCTTGTAACCTCTGACCTGCATGTCCGTTCTCCCTGCTGGGATAACGGGGGCTCGCCACGTCAGCTGTATGGAGTTGGTAGAGGGCGTGGCCACCAGGCGGCGGGGGGCGGGAGGTGGCACCCGTTCTAAAATGTAGTAGTTTGTTTGTCATATTAAACAGAAAAGGGTATAATAAATATAGCACTTTGGGCCTCCACTGATATTATTTTTAAAACACTAGGTATCATTGAATATAAACGTCTTGTGTTCAGAAGAACGTTTAACCTTCAAATATGCCTTCCAGGGACTGGACCTTTTCATCCAAACACACCCAAAACATTGCACGTGAAGCATGGCACTGCTCGATGCACGTGGGTGATCTGGACCCCTCAGTGAAATGGCCCTTTCAGTAAAACAAGTGGTGTGGTCAGGCTCGCTGACTTGGTTGACACATGTCATCGAATCCAGATTTCGTAGATTGATGTTCATGCTGTTCATCACCTGACTCGATTTTTGCCGCCACATAGCTGGAATATTGCTGAGTGCGGCGTAAAATAACAAGCAAAACCATAACAATGACTCCTAAGATATTACGTCCGGTGCCTCGTGTACCTGACGCACTCTTCCTGATGCGAATTTCCCGTGATGGAGCCTCCTCCCCCCACGTCAACACCGTCGCAATCCGCAGCACAAAGTTGTCCTCTTGACCCAAACCTGCAGGGAGATGTTGCCGTGTCAGTAAAATATTTCATATAGAGAGACACCACAAGGTAGACACCCAAACCTGCAGGGAGATGTTGCCGTGTCAGTAAAATATTTCATATAGAGAGACACCACAAGGTAGACACCCAAACCTGCAGGGAGATGTTGCCGTGTCAGTAATATATTTCATATAGAGAGACACCACAAGGTAGACACCCAAACCTGCAGGGAGATGTTGCCGTGCCAGTAATATATTTCATATAGAGAGACACCACAAGGTAGACACCCAAACCTGCAGGGAGATGTTGCCGTGCCAGTAATATATTTCATATAGAGAGACACCACAAGGTAGACACCCAAACCTGCAGGGAGATGTTGCCGTGTCAGTAAAATATTTCATATAGAGAGACACCACAAGGTAGACACCACTCTGTAGATATCACATACACCTCGTCGTAGCATTCACCAGAAGGTACACACAAATAGACAGGGCCAGGAAGACGACACAAAAGCCACAATATATGATCATTGCTGCAAGGGTAAAAAGGATCAGACACTTACCTACGAGGAACTGTTTATTTCTGTTTCCTGCTAAGAAGAGTTTTTCCGACCGTGAGTCATTCATCCTCTTGTAGTAGATTGTGTATCCTTGAATATAAATTGGGTCTATGTGGCTTGGTGCTTCCCATTCCAGCTGAATCATCTGAAACAAACGCAACTGTCACTATATGGTGCTTCCGATTCCAGCTGAATCATCTGAAACAAACACAACCGTCACTATATGGTGATTCTCATTCCAGCTGAATCATCTGAAACAAACACAACCGTCACTATATGGTGCTTCCCATTCCAGCTGAATCATCTGAAACAAACACAACCGTCACTATATGGTGCTTCCCATTCCAGCTGAATCATCTGAAACAAACGCAACCGTCACTACATGGTGCTTCCCATTCCAGCTGAATCATCTGAAACAAACACAACCGTCACTATATGGTGCTTCCCATTCCAGCTGAATCATCTGAAACAAACGCAACCGTCACTATATGGTGCTTCCCATTCCAGCTGAATCACCTGAAACAAACACAACCGTCACTATATGGTGCTTCCTTTTCCAGCTGAATCACCTGAAACAAACGCAACCGTCACTATATGGTGCTTCCCATTCCAGCTGAATCATCTGAAACAAACACAACCGTCACCATATGGTGCTTCCCATTCCAGCTGAATCATCTGAAACAAACACAACCGTCACTATATGGTGCTTCCTTTTCCAGCTGAATCACCTGAAACAAACGCAACCGTCACTATATGGTGCTTCCCATTCCAGCTGAATCATCTGAAACAAACGCAACCGTCACTATATGGTGCTTCCCATTCCAGCTGAATCATCTGAAACAAACACAACCATCACTATATGGTGCTTCCCATTCCAGCTGAATCATCTGAAACAAACACAACCGTCACTACATGGTTCTTCCTTTTCCAGCTGAATCATCTGAAACAAACACAACCGTCACTATATGGTGCTTCCTTTTCCAGCTGAATCATCTGAAACAAAGGCAACCGTCACTACATGGTGCTTCCCATTCCAGCTGAATCATCTGAAACAAACGCAACCGTCACTACATGGTGCTTCCCATTCCAGCTGAATCATCTGAAACAAACGCAACCGTCACTACATGGTGCTTCCCATTCCAGCTGAATCATCTGAAACAAACACAACCGTCACTACATGGTGCTTCCCATTCCAGCTGAATCATCTGAAACAAACACAACCGTCACTATATGGTGCTTCCTTTTCCAGCTGAATCATCTGAAACAAACGCAACCGTCACTACATGGTGCTTCCCATTCCAGCTGAATCATCTGAAACAAACGCAACCCGCCACTACATGGTGCTTCCCATTCCAGCTGAATCATCTGAAACAAACACAACCGTCACTACATGGTGCTTCCCATTCCAGCTGAATCATCTGAAACAAACACAACCGTCACTATATGGTGCTTCCCATTCCAGCTGAATCATCTGAAACAAACACAACCGTCACTATATGGTGCTTCCCATTCCAGCTGAATCATCTGAAACAAACACAACCGTCACTATATGGTGCTTCCCATTCCAGCTGAATCATCTGAAACAAACACAACCGTCACTATATGGTGCTTCCCATTCCAGCTGAATCATCTGAAACAAACACAACCGTCACTATATGGTGCTTCCCATTCCAGCTGAATCATCTGAAACAAACACAACCGTCACTATATGGTGCTTCCCATTCCAGCTGAATCATCTGAAACAAACACAACCGTCACTATATGGTGCTTCCCATTCCAGCTGAATCATCTTAAACAAACACAACCGTCACTATATGGTGCTTCCCATTCCAGCTGAATCATCTGAAACAAACACAACCGTCACTATATGGTGCTTCCTTTTCCAGCTGAATCATCTGAAACAAACACAACCGTCACTATATGGTGCTTCCCATTCCAGCTGAATCATCTGAAACAAACACAACCGTCACTATATGGTGCTTCCCATTCCAGCTGAATCATCTGAAACAAACACAACCGTCACTATATGGTGCTTCCCATTCCAGCTGAATCATCTGAAACAAACACAACCGTCACTATATGGTGCTTCCCATTCCAGCTGAATCATCTGAAACAAACACAACCGTCACTATATGGTGCTTCCCATTCCAGCTGAATCATCTGAAACAAACACAACCGTCACTATATGGTGCTTCCCATTCCAGCTGAATCATCTGAAACAAACACAACCGTCACTATATGGTGCTTCCCATTCCAGCTGAATCATCTGAAACAAACACAACCGTCACTATATGGTGCTTCCTTTTCCAGCTGAATCATCTGAAACAAACACAACCATCACTATATGGTGCTTCCCATTCCAGCTGAATCATCTGAAACAAACACAACCGTCACTACATGGTTCTTCCTTTTCCAGCTGAATCATCTGAAACAAACACAACCGCCACTATATATGGTGCTTCCTTTTCCAGCTGAATCATCTGAAACAAAGGCAACCGTCACTACATGGTGCTTCCCATTCCAGCTGAATCATCTGAAACAAACGCAACCGTCACTACATGGTGCTTCCCATTCCAGCTGAATCATCTGAAACAAACGCAACCGTCACTACATGGTGCTTCCCATTCCAGCTGAATCATCTGAAACAAACACAACCGTCACTACATGGTGCTTCCCATTCCAGCTGAATCATCTGAAACAAACACAACCGTCACTATATGGTGCTTCCTTTTCCAGCTGAATCATCTGAAACAAACGCAACCGTCACTACATGGTGCTTCCCATTCCAGCTGAATCATCTGAAACAAACGCAACCGTCACTACATGGTGCTTCCCATTCCAGCTGAATCATCTGAAACAAACACAACCGTCACTATATGGTGCTTCCCATTCCAGCTGAATCATCTGAAACAAACACAACCGTCACTATATGGTGCTTCCCATTCCAGCTGAATCATCTGAAACAAACACAACCGTCACTATATGGTGCTTCCCATTCCAGCTGAATCATCTGAAACAAACACAACCGTCACTATATGGTGCTTCCCATTCCAGCTGAATCATCTGAAACAAACACAACCGTCACTATATGGTGCTTCCCATTCCAGCTGAATCATCTGAAACAAACACAACCGTCACTATATGGTGCTTCCCCATTCCAGCTGAATCATCTGAAACAAACACAACCGTCACTATATGGTGCTTCCCATTCCAGCTGAATCATCTTAAACAAACACAACCGTCACTATATGGTGCTTCCCATTCCAGCTGAATCATCTGAAACAAACACAACCGTCACTATATGGTGCTTCCCATTCCAGCTGAATCATCTGAAACAAACACAACCGTCACTATATGGTGCTTCCCATTCCAGCTGAATCATCTGAAACAAACACAACCGTCACTATATGGTGCTTCCCATTCCAGCTGAATCATCTGAAACAAACACAACCGTCACTATATGGTGCTTCCCATTCCAGCTGAATCATCTGAAACAAACACAACCGTCACTATATGGTGCTTCCCATTCCAGCTGAATCATCTGAAACAAACACAACCGTCACTATATGGTGCTTCCCATTCCAGCTGAATCATCTGAAACAAACACAACCGTCACTATATGGTGCTTCCCATTCCAGCTGAATCATCTGAAACAAACACAACCGTCACTATATGGTGCTTCCCATTCCAGCTGAATCATCTGAAACAAACACAACCGTCACTATATGGTGCTTCCTTTTCCAGCTGAATCATCTGAAACAAACGCAACCGTCACTACATGGTGCTTCCCATTCCAGCTGAATCATCTGAAACAAACACAACCGTCACTATATGGTGCTTCCCATTCCAGCTGAATCATCTGAAACAAACACAACCGTCACTATATGGTGCTTCCCATTCCAGCTGAATCATCTGAAACAAACACAACCGTCACTATATGGGGCTTCCGATTCCAGCTGAATCATCTGAAACAAACACAACCGTCACTATATGGTGCTTCCCATTCCAGCTGAATCATCTGAAACAAACACAACCGTCACTATATGGTGCTTCCCATTCCAGCTGAATCACCTGAAACAAACACAACCGCCACTACATCATGTCTGTGTAGCTGGCAGGTGCCCCTCATTTCAAAAGATTCCACAGAAATGGATAATGCTCTGACTCTTGGACACTCAGTCATATATTGTTGTTGTTTAAACTCGCCTGATTTCGTGGGATCACCAAACCAGGAACCACAACCAGAACCCAAGGTTTGTGCATCCCATTATATTGGCCATGATCAGTTTTCTGGCGGTTTGGACAGAAGACACACCGGATATTGAGAACATGCAAAAAATATTTTACAGGTTTTTGTATTGACAAAAACACTCAAATAGTATCATTTCATCACTTTCCTCATTTAATGTCAGTACTTGATATTTGTCTCCCAAAGATTCAAAGGGATGAGGTTTTACGTTTTAGTTTACGCAACTAGTACATGCTCAAGGTGCTGGAGTGTTCCCTTGATCAATAGATGTCTTTTTTCTGGCATTCTTTTAACCAGCTCAACTCCCTGGGGAGTATTCAACTCATGCAGCATGTTAAGTGCAGCGAGTTATCACTCACAACGTACCCATTTGCAGCTGGGTGGACTGGGACACAGTATTTTGTCCAATGATACTGCATGTTACTATACCCGCAACTAGGTGTCTGCACGTGTTTGTGTGTCCACCATCTGGTCACCTACCGTCGGATCAGTGGGTTCTTTTAAGTGCACAGGGCTGTGTTCTGCACACTAGGGTTGTGACAACACTGAAAGAGCCTGCAAGTAATGTTAGCTCCAAGATTTTTTGCACCCGGTCACAAGTGGGGATCGATCCAGGCACCTTTCGCTTACTAGCTCGGTGCCTTAGACAGATCGCTCACTATGCCCCAAACAGGATCATATAGATGTAACAGCTTGAGTCTGTTTGGATAAGATGTCATCAATAATTTTTCTGTCTTTCAACAATCAAAATGAAATGTCTCTCTGAATGAAATTTGTAAGGACAGTCTAGTTGGGTCTGACAATGAGCCACAAAGGGACGAGTAGGGAATGAAATGAAATGTGAGCAAAGTGGCGCAGAACCCCCTCTTTCATTACTACTCGGGCAGTTTGCTTGGGTTTGTGATGTCCTGTGACTTACCGAGCTGTTCAGGGCGACTGCGGACACGTTGGCAGGTTGGAGGTCGGTGTTGGGGAGGGTCCGTGCCTCCACCTGGGGGCTGATCTTACCCACGCCGTGAGTGTTGATGGCACGCACGCTCATTGTGTAGGTCAGATTAGGGTGAAGGTCACCGATCTCGAGACGTCGGGACGTAGTATTGACAGTTCTTAAGCGACGTGACCGCCCAGGCCGGTAGATGATGTTGTAAGCTGTTATGGGGAATTTATAATCAATAGGATCCTCCCAGACGATGCTGATCTTTGATGGCGACACAGCTACAGCTTGAATGTTCGACACCGGGGGCGGCGGTGGCACTGCAGTAAGACGACAGCATAACAACATCACAGAAACAACACAACACATCCATCACTGACACCACAATCAGCCTCACGGTGAAAAGCACAACCTACCCTCCAGTTGAGAGGCACTACCTACGCCCCAGTGAGAGAGAAACTACATACCCTCCATAGTGATAGATACTACCCACCCTTAGGTGTGAGAGACAGTACCTACACATTAGTGTGACACACTACCAACACCCCAGTGTGAGAGACATTAAATACCCTCCAGTGTGAGAGACACTACCTAGACTCCAGTGAGAGAGACACTACCTAGCCTCCAGTGTCAGAAACACTAAATAGCCTCCGGTGAGACAGACACTATCTACCATGCAGTGTGAGAGACACTACCTACCCTCCACTGTGAGAGGCACTACCTAGCCTCCAGTGTGAGAGACACTACCTACCCTCCAGTGTGAGAGACACTACCTACCCTACAGTGTGAGGGACGCTACCTACCCTACAGTGTTAGAGACACTACCTACACTATAGTGTGAGAGACACTACCTACCCTACAGTGAGAGAGACGGTACCTACCCTCCAGTGTGAGAGACACTAACTACCCTACAGTGTGAGAGACACTACCTACCCTACATTGTGAGAGACACTACCTACCGTACAGTGAGAGACACACTACCTACCCTACAGTGAGAGACACACTACCTACCCTACAGTGAGAGACACACTACCTAGCCTCCTGTGTGAGAGACTCTACCTAGCAACCGGTGTGAGAGACACTACCTACCCTCCAGTGTGAGAGACTCTACCTAGCCTCCAGTGTGAGAGACACTACCTAGCATCCGGTGTGAGAGACACTACCTACCCTCCAGTGTGAGAGACACTACCTAGTCTCCAGTGTGGGACACAAAACGTACCCTATGAGTGACAGACACTACCTACCCTACAGTGTGAGAGACACTACCTACCCTATAGTGACAGAGACACTTTACCTACACTCCAGTGTGAGACACAATACCTAGCCTCCAGTTTGAGAGACACTACTTACCCTACAGTGAGAGAGACACTACCTACCCTCCAGTGTGAGAGATACTAACTACACTCCAGTGTGAGAGACACTACCTAGCCTCCAGTGTGACAGACACTGCCTACCCTCGAGTGTGAGAGACACTACCTACCCTCGAGTGTGAGAGACTCTACCTAACCTGAAGTGTGAGAGACACTATCTAGCCTCCAGTGTGAGAGACACTACCTAGCCTCCAGTGTGACAGACACTGCCTACCTCCAGTGAGAGAGACACTACTTACACTTCAGTGCGGGAGACACTACCTAGCCTCCACTGTGAGAGACACTACCTACCCTCCAGTGTGAGAGATACTACTTAGCCCCCAGTGTGAGACACACTACCTAGCCTCCAGTATGAGAGACACTATCACTTACCCTCCAGAGTGAGAGACACTACTTACCCTCCAGTGTGAGAGACTCTACCAAGCCTCCAGTGTGACAGACACTACCTACCCTGAAGTGTGAGACACTACCTAAACTCCAGTGTGAGAGACGCTCCCTATCCTTAAGTGTGAGAGACACTACCTAGCCTCCAGTGAGAGAGACACTACCTACCCTTAAGTGTGAGAGACACTACCTACCCTCCAGTGAGAGAGACGGTACCTACCCTACAGTGTGAGAGCCACTACCTACCGAACAGTGTGAGAAACGGTACCTATCCTACAGTGTGAGAAACACTAACTACCCTACAGTGAGAGAGACACTACCTACCCTACAGTGAGAGAGACACTACCTACCGTACAGTGTGAGAGACAGTACCTACACTTCAGTGTGAGACACTACCTAAACTCCAGTGTGAGAGACGCTCCCTATCCTTAAGTGTGAGAGACACTACCTAGCCTCCAGTGAGAGAGACACTACCTACCCTTAAGTGTGAGAGACACTACCTACCCTCCAGTGTGAGAGACGGTACCTATCCTACAGTGTGAGACACACTTACTACCCTACAGTGAGAAAGACACTACCTACCCTACAGTGAGAGAGACACTACCTACCGTACAGTGTGAGAGACAGTACCTAGCCTCAAGTGAGAGAGGCACTACCTAGCCTCCAGTGTGAGAGACACTACCCTCCCTCCAGTGTGAGAGGCACTACCTACCCTACAATGTGAGAGACACTACCTACACTCCAGTGTGAGAGACACTACCTACCCGACAGTGAGAGAGGTACTACACATCCAACAGTGTGAGAGACTCTACCTACCCTACAGTGAGAGAAACACTGCCTACCCTCCAGTGTGAGAGGCACTACCTACCGTCCAGTGTGACAGACACTATCTAGCCTCCAGTGTGAGAGACACTACCTACCCTACAGTGTGAGAGACACTACCTACCCTCCAGTGTGAGAAACACTACCTACCCTCCAGTTTGAGAGGCACTACCTACCGTCCAGTGTGACAGACACTAAGTACCCTCCAGTTTGAGAGGCACTACCTACCCTTCAGTGTGAGAGTCACTACCTACCCTCCAGTGTGAGAGGCACTACCCGCCACGTTGAGTACTCTCCCCGCTTTGCCTGACAGGTGTAGTTTCCCTCGTCCGACAGTCTGAGAGCGGAGAAGTGCAGTGTTTTGTTCACAATATGCGTCTCTTCGTCCACTGATGACGTTACGTACACTCTGGATCCGGCCTCCTGCAGATAACACCACGTTTTATATGGCCTCCACTACTCAGGTAGGCTCACCAAATGGCAGTACAGTATACAGTATAGACATTTGATGGGAGTAATTTATATATGTTCTGAATCCGCTCCACTATTTTACCTATATAATGATGGGCACCAGTAGTTGGTGTCACCATAAATTTCCCCAGCCCCCAAAATTGTTAAAAGTACTACACCAATTTCCACTAAGCCCACAAAATGTCAACAATCATACCTCAAATTCCCCCACTTAACTGAAACTTCCCCACTCACACAAACAGTCACAGGTGCCTACAACTGACACCACTGTTTGTTACCTTGTCGTGGAAGATAAGTCCATCCTCAAACCTGGACCAGACCACGTGGGGCAGCGGAACGCCGGACACAACACATGACACGGCCGCAGCCTGGCTCACCACGGCGTGCTTCCTCTCAACCTCCAGGAACCTCGGCAGCGCTGCAACAGTGGTAAAACATTCACAGCATGGTGAAACAGTCAGAGTATTGTAAAACATTCACAACATGGTGAAACAGTCAGAGTATGGTAAAACATTTACAACATGGTGAAACAGTCAGAGTATGGTAAAACATTCACAACATGGTGAAACAGTCAGAGTATGGTAAAACATTCACAACATGGTGAAACAGTCAGAGTATGGTAAAACATTCACAACATGGGGAAACAGTCAGAGCATGGTAAAACATTCACTACATGCGGAAACAGTCAGAGTATGGTAAAACATTCACAACATGGGGAAACAGTCAGAGTATGGTAAAACATTCACAACGTGGTGAAACAGTCAGTGCATGGTAAAACATTCACAACATGGTGAAACAGTCAGAGTATGGTAAAACATTCAGAACATGGGGAAACAGTTAGAGCATGGTGAAACAGTAGCGTCGTGGTGTAACAGTCAGATCATTGTGAAACTAGCATCAAGGTAAAACTAGCATCATGGTGAAAAAGTAGCGTCGTGGTGTAACAGTCAGATCATGGTGAAACTAGCATCATGGTGAAACAGTAGCCTCGTGCTGTAACAGTCAGATCATGGTGAAACTAGCATCAAGGTGAAATAAGCATCATGGTGAAACAGTCAGATCATGGTGAAACGAGCATCAAGGTGAAACTAGCATCATGGTGAAACAGTCAGATCATGGTGAAATCAGCATCATGGTGAAACAGTCAGATCATGGGGAAACTAGCATCAAGGTGAAACAAGCATCATGGTGAAACTAGCATCATGGTGAAACAGTCAGATCATGGTCAAACTAGCATCATTGTGAGACTAGAATCATGGTGAAAAAGTCAGATCACGGTGAAACTAGCATCATGGTGAAACAGTCAGGTCATGGTCAAACTAGCATCATTGTGAAACTAGGATCATGGTGAAAAAGTCAGATCATGGTGAAACTAGCATCATGGTGAAACAGTCAGGTCATGGTCAAACTAGCATCATTGTGAAACTAGCATCATGGTGCAACAGTCAGGTCATGGTCAAACTAGCATCATTGTGAAACTAGCATCATGGTGCAACAGTCAGATCTTGGTGAAACTAGCATCATGGTTGAACTATCAGATCATGGTGAAACTAGCATCATGGTTGAACTATCAGATCATGGTGAAACTAGCATCATGGTTGAACTATCAGAGCATGGTGAAACTAGCATCATGGTTGAATGATCATGGTGAAACTATCATGGTTGAACTATCAGAGCATGGTGAAACTAGCATCATGGTTGAACTATCAGAGCATGGTGAAACTAGCATCATGGTTGAACTATCAGATCATGGTGAAACTAGCATCATGGTTGAACTATCAGATCATGGTGAAACTAGCATCATGGTTGAACTATCAGAGCATGGTGAAACTAGCATCATGGTTGAACTATCAGATCATGGTGAAACTAGCATCATGGTTGAACTATCAGAGCATGGTGAAACTAGCATCATGGTTGAACTATTAGATCATGGTGAAACTAGCATCATGGTTGAACTATCAGAGCATGGTGAAACTAGCATCATGGTTGAACTATCAGATCATGGTGAAACTAGCATCATGGTTGAACTATCAGATCATGGTGAAACTAGCATCATGGTTGAACTATCAGATCATGGTGAAACTAGCATCATGGTTGAACTATCAGATCATGGTGAAACTAGCATCATGGTGGAACTAGCATCATGGTGAAACTCATTCTCTTCCCACAGAGATTACTTGTCATATCTTCCTACGAACCTCTGTTCTAATACGGCCATATTTCCCGGTTCTCGTAAAATTCCCTAGCGGCAAAAGATCGCAACACGAATTATCTCTCTTCGTTCTATCCAATCAGAACACGTGTTACATCGACTTACATTCAACTTGACTAACACAAGCAAATGTGGGGCCACAAATATCCCCCATCTGCCGGGGACTTGTGTTGATGTTACACACAAGACGTTTAATGGCTAGCTTGTCCGTTGTCAACGAGGGCGATGGAGACGCCACTGATCCGCCATAACATGACTGAGTTCTGTCTAGAAGAAACGTTTGCGCATCGCGCAGGGGAAGAGGTTTAGTTTTCTCGAAGCATACGGAAATTACCGAGGCCTTGCGAATGATCACTTTTGAAACAACGTCGCTGATTGCACAACTAAATCTGATTGCCTCCAATCACGAGTCTTGAACGCTCACACCATGAAAGGGCCGTATTAGAACAGAGGTTACGTTGGAAGATATGACAGGAGTAACCTCTGTGGGAAGAGAATGGGTGAAACTAGCATCATGGTGAAACTAGCATCATGGTGAAACGAGCATCAAGGTGAAACTAGCATCATGGTGAAACAGTCAGATCATGCTGAAACTAGCATCATGGTGGAACAGTCAGATCATGGGGAAACAGTGGGGATACACCGGGTCGCTAAACAACTCAAAGTGAAGTACTCACAGCACACCACTGTTTCACCTCTGTGTCACCACTGTTTCACCTCTGTGTCACCACTGTTTCACCTCTGTGTCACCACTGTTTCGCCACTGATTCACCATTGTTTTGTCACTGTTTCACCACTATCTCACCACTGTTCCGCACACAGACACCCGGACACTCACAACGATTCCTCTCTCACCGTGAACGTGAAGCTGTACAGTCGCGTTGACGGCAGGGTCGCTCTCAGCTGAGCAGATGTAGTTGCCGGAGTGTTGGAGTTGCACAGCGTCGATGATGAGGTGACTTTCAATACGTCGTTGTGCAAGGTGTATCTGTTTGATGACCATCACGTCGTGCTGGGCGTGGACTAACTGCAACAGGAGGACAATGTCCAGAAGCATATCACAAGGCACCAGTTTCCTCTATCCCACGGTTGTATATATACTACTAGTAACTCTTACATATCACAAGGCACTAGTTTCCTCTATCCCACGGTTGTATATATACTTCTAGTAACTCTTACATATATGCTGATAGGAGGTGGGTTAACGCCGCACCCAGCAATATTCCAGCTGTATGGCAGCAGTCTGTAAATAGTCCAGTCGGGACCAGACAATCTAGTGATCAACATCATGAGCATCGATCTACGCATTTGGGACGCGATGACATGATTGTGTCAATCAAGTCAGCAAGCCTGACCACCCGATCCCGTTTTTCGCCTCTTACGACAAGAATGGGTTACTGAAGATCAATTATAACCCGGATTTTCACAGGTAGATCTTCACGGGTATAACATGTACACTGAGGCTGAACAATACACGTGCAACCTACGAAACACGTATGTGTGAACTACAGAACACATAGCCATATTTCAAACCGAACGTGCAGTTGTTCCACTTCAGAACACATTAGGGACCTTTCATAACTTATGGCTAGGGGTGGTGGTTATGATGATTTTTATAGAGAAGCATGTACAATGTGAATGACAACCCCCCCTCATAAAATCATCATCCCCCCACCCCCAGGAAAAAGCGGCGTAAAGCTAAACTCACTCACTCACTCAGGACACATTAACCAGAACATCAAGTATCTTACCATGTTGAGGGACCGTTGTTCATAGAATGGCGCCATCATTCCCTGGCGGTACCAGCTGACGGTGGGGATCGGGTCGCCCCGGACAATGCAGGTCAAGTTGGCCCTCCCCCCAACCAGCACCGTCCCCCCGAACACCTGCATCACCGGGAACACTGCAACAGAACGAGCGTCCGTCAGACGCCATTGTCTCCTATTGGTGGTATGAATACAGGGATCTGTTTCTTTCAACCAAGTGACATCCCACAGTTAACATCGACATGCATACATCCTCATTATCACAGAAGTTCACTAGTAGGTGACTAGGTGTTACATACCTGTTGGTGACGTGGTGACGCATTTAATATCTGCCGGTGACGTGGTGACGCATTACATATCTGTTGGTGACGTGGTGACGCACTACATATCTGTTGGTGACGTATTACATAACTGTTGGTGACGTGGTGACGCATTTAATATCTGCCGGTGACGTGGTGACGCATTACATATCTGTTGGTGACGTGGTGACGTATTACATATCTGTTGGTGACGTGGTAACGTATTACATACCTGTTGGTGACGCATTGCATATGTGTTGGTGACGTGGTGACGCATTACATATCTGTTGGTGACGTATTAATATCTGTTGGTGACGTGGTGACGCATTACATACCTGTTGGTGAGGTGGTAACGTATTACATACCTGTTGGTGACGTGGTGACGTATTTAATGTCTGCCGGTGACGTGGTGACGCATTACATACCTATTAGTAACGTGGTGACGCATTACATACCTGTTGGTGACGTGGTGACGTATTTAATATCTGCCGGTGACGTGGTGACGCATTACATACCTGTTGGTGACGTGGTGACGCATTACATATCTGTTGGTGACATATTACATATCTGTTGGTGACGTGGTAACGCATTAATTACCTGCTGGTGACGTGGTAACGCATTAATTACCTGCTGGTGACGTGGTGACGTAGACCATAGGTGACTGTTCGCTGGAGCGTCGTACGTTGAAGGAGGTTATGTTGATGGCATACAGCGTACCAGGGTCAAGAAGCTCGATAACAGTCTCTGTGTTAGTGCCGGTGACTATATCCCGCTCAAGTTGGTTTACTGAAACAACAGTCTCAAGTTGTGTTACTGAAACAACAGTCTCTGTGTTAGTGCCGGTGACTATATCCCGCTCAAGTTAGTTTACTGAAACAACAGTCTCTGTGTTAGTGCCGGTGACTATATTCCGCTCACGTTGGTTTACTGAAACAACAGTCTCTGTGTTAGTGCCGGTTAGTATGCTGAAACAACTCTCTGTTCAAGCTCCCGCTCAAGTTAGTTTACTTCACTGTTAGTGCCTTGGGATAGGTTCAAGCTGATTCACTGCCTTGGTAAGGGTGGTGGGTAGTCTCCGAGGATGTTTTACGTTTTTTAAATAATCAGGAATGGTTTTCATCAACCAAGCAACGCCCATATGTTATCAACTGTTTTCACTTTCATCATTTCTTGTCATTATCTACACATCTGTTTTAACGATCAGAATGGTCTTCGTTTCATGTCAACCTGCGTTTTACTTGCCGTTGAGTATACATGTAGTTATTACCCACCTGTCATGTCCTGGACCAGGATCCTGTACGCAACCAGGGGACAGCACTCAGGAACAACCGGGGCTGTCCACCTCAGTCCGACACTGGTGCTGGCGACGTCAACTACGTGGAGGTTGTCAGGGATACCGGGATATACGGACTCCGTGGAAACCATGGCCGTGGTGCTGGGTGTGTCCGAGTCAGCTCGGTTTTTGGAACCCTTTCTTTTACCTTAAAACAAACTTAGATTCTTAAAAAAACAACCTAGCATTGAACATCCACTTCGGTGATCACCCACCGGAAACTAACCTGTATGCTATGTTGCTTCTCTCTACGTCACTGTGACCTGTAATCTGGCATTACCTTTCCTGGACTTCCGGTTTCCTCTGCGCCGGCCGTCTGTGTCGACGTCTTCCCCCCCAACACGCCCCCCTTCTGTGTCCACACTTCCCCACTTGCTGTATGGCCCGGTGCCATTCACTGTCCTCGCTGCCACGCGGACACGGTAGGTGGCGCTCTCCTCTAAATCTGAAAAGAGATCGTAAAGATTTCAGAATACACGTGGATAGAAACAGGACATACTTCAAGGGTTTTCGTGACGTCATCACTGACCTGTAAGGATATACTCCAGGGGTTTTTGTGACGTCATCACTGACCTGTAAGGATATATTCCAGGGGTTTTCGTGACGTCATCACTGTGCAGACGTCACCGCGGCGACTGCCCCGACGCTTGTACTGGATCTTATACTGCGTGATGATCCCATGTCGCTTCCGGGCGGGGGGCGGGCTCCAAGACACGCGGACAACCTGAAATATAAAACACGTCCAGCTGTCCTGAAGTGTTTGGTTTTTCTTATATACTCTCGAAGTACACGAGGGCGCGGTTTATCCTTGGGCAGTGTGCGAAATAGTTTCCAAATGTTGTCAACCAGTCTGGCTAGCAAAGCCTGGAAGTTACTAGCCAACGAAAAAATACACTGGCCCGAAATTTGAATGTAGAAACTGTGCTAAAGATTGCAAAAATAGATGAGAATAAGATGGCATGACACAGGTTTCATCATTAAGCTGCTAATATGATGAACATTATTATCAGGCCATAATCTTCCATGATTTAAAAAAGTTTATTATAACAAGTTGGAGAGAGTGATATATTTACAAAATGACCCTATACAAGTTTACTAGCCAGTCGGGCCAGTGACTGTAGAGATTTACTGGCTCGACTGGATTTTTGCTAGCCACAGGCTAGCGGGCCAGTGGCTATTTCGCACACTGTCATCGGTACACGTTGCCTGAACAAGTATTTTATTGCGCACAAAGCATGTTGCCCTCGGGACTTCAACAGTGATAACGTCATTCTCCAAACCAGACCAAAATGAATATGCTACACAGGTGCCTGGACAAGTACCTTCATAATGAATATGCTACACAGGTGCCTGGACAAGTACCTTCATAATGAATATGCTACACAGGTGCCTGGACAAGTACCTTCATAATGAATATGCTACACAGGTGCCTGGACAAGTACCTTCATAATGAATATGCTACACAGGTGCCTGGACAAGTACCTTCATAATGAATATGCTACACAGGTGCCTGGACAAGTACCTTCATAATGAATATGCTACACAGGTGCCTGGACAAGTACCTTCATAATAAATATGCTACACAGGTGCCTGGACAAGTACCTTCATAATGAATATGCTACACAGGTGCCTGGACAAGTACCTTCATAATGAATATGCTACACAGGTGCCTGGACAAGTACCTTCATAATAAATATGCTACACAGGTGCCTGGACAAGTACCTTCATAATGAATATGCTACACAGGTGCCTGGACAAGTACCTTCATAATGAATATGCTACACAGGTGCCTGGACAAGTACCTTTATAATGAATATGCTACACAGGTGCCTGGACAAGTACCTTCATAATGAATATGCTACACAGGTGCCTGGACAAGTACCTTCATAAGGAATATGCTACACAGGTGCCTGGACAAGTACCTTCATAATAAATATGCTACACAGGTACCTGGACAAGTACCTTCATAAGGAATCAGAACGCGTTACCAGGGAAACGTGTGATTACACAGTGCCATTTAGAAAGTGGTCAAATGTAACATATGCTATATTTGGGACTATATAGTCTCAGTAAAGTACAGATTCTAGTACTTTTGAGGGGTTGAGTCCCATCCGGGATTCGAGCCCATACCCTTAGAGTCAGGCACCAAAGCGCCAGCACACAAAGTCAGCCGGGTAACCCGCTCAGCCAAAGCGACTTTCACAAAAATGGAAGCCGGACAACTAGTAGTCTAGACTGCGGACGTAGTGTACCCCTCTGATGAGTGTTAGAAGAGTAGTCTAGACTGCGGAATTAGTGTACCCCTCTGATAAGTGTTAATAGAGTAGTCTAGACTGTAGACTTAGTGTACCCCTCTGACGAGTGTTAATAGAGTAGTCTAGACTGCAGACTTAGTGTACCCCTCTGACGAGTGTTAATAGAGTAGTCTAGACTGCGGACTTAGTGTACCCCTCTGATGAGTGTTAATAGAGTAGTCTAGACTGAGGACTTAGTGTACCCCTCTGATAAGTGTTAATAGAGTAGTCTAGACTGCGGACTAAGTGTACCCCTCTGATAACTGTTAATAGAGTAGTCTAGACTGCGGACTTAGTGTACCCCTCTGATGAGTGTTAATAGAGTAGTCTAGACTGTGGACTTAGTGTACCCCTCTGATGAGTGTTAATAGAGTAGTCTAGACTGTGGACTTAGTGTACCCCTCTGACGAGTGTTAATAGAGTTGTCTAGACTGCGGACTTAGTGTACCCCTCTGATAAGTGTTAATAGAGTAGTCTAGACTGAGGACTTAGTGTACCCCTCTGAAAAGTGTTAATAGAGTAGTCTAGACTGCGGACTTAGTGTACCCCTCTGATAACTGTTAATAGAGTAGTCTAGACTGCGGACTTAGTGTACCCCTGTGATGAGTGTTAATAGAGTAGTCTAGACTGTGGACTTAGTGTACCCCTCTGATGAGTGTTAATAGAGTACTCTAGACTGTGGACTAAGTGTACCCCTCTGATAAGTGTTAATAGAGTAGTCTAGACTGCGGACTAAGTGTACCACTCTGATGAGTGTTAATAGAGTAGTCTAGACTGTGGACTAAGTGTACCTCTCTGATGAGTGTTAATAGAGTAGTCTAGACTGCGGACTAAGTGTACCCCTCTGATAAGTGTTAATAGAGTAGCCTAGACTGCGGACTAAGTGTACCCCTCTGATGAGTGTTTATAGAGTAGTCTAGACTGCGGACTAAGTGTACCCCTCTGATGAGTGTTAATAGAGTAGTCTAGACTGCGGACTAAGTGTACCCCTCTGATGAGTGTTAATAGAGTAGTCTAGACTGCGGACTAAGTGTACCCCTCTGATAAGTGTTAATAGAGTAGTCTAGACTGCGGACTAAGTGTACTCCTCTGATAAGTGTTAATAGAGTAGCCTAGACAGAGGACTAAGTGTACCCCTCTGATGAGTGTTAATAGAGTAGTCTAGACTGCGGACTAAGTGTACCCCTCTGATAAGTGTTAATAGAGTAGCCTAGACTGCGGACTAAGTGTACCCCTCTGATGAGTGTTTATAGAGTAGTCTAGACTGCGGACTAAGTGTACCCCTCTGATGAGTGTTAATAGAGTAGTCTAGACTGCGGACTAAGTGTACCTCTCTGATGAGTGTTAATAGAGTAGTCTAGACTGCGGACTAAGTGTACCCCTCTGATAAGTGTTAATAGAGTAGTCTAGACTGCGGACTTAGTGTACCCCTCTGATAAGTGTTAATAGAGTAGCCTAGACTGAAGACTAAGTGTACCCCTCTGATGAGTGTTAATAGAGTAGTCTAGACTGCGGACTAAGTGTACCCCTCTGATAACTGTTAATAGAGTAGTCTAGACTGCGGACTTAGTGTACCCCTCTGATAACTGTTAATAGAGTAGTCTAGACTGCGGACTAAGTGTACCCCTCTGATAACTGTTAATAGAGTAGTCTAGACTGCGGACTAAGTGTACCCCTCTGATAACTGTTAATAGAGTAGTCTAGACTGCGGACTAAGTGTACCCCTCTGATAACTGTTAATAGAGTAGTCTAGACTGCGGACTTAGTGTACCCCTCTGATGAGTGTTAATAGAGTAGTCTAGACTGCGGACTTAGTGTACACCTCTGATGAGTGTTAATAGAGTAGTCTAGACTGCGGACTTAGTGTACACCTCTGATGAGTGTTAATAGAGTAGTCTAGACTGTGGACTTAGTGTACCCCTCTGATGAGTGTTAATAGAGTAGTCTAGACTGCGGACAAAGTGTACCCCTCTGATAACTGTTAATAGAGTAGTCTAGACTGCGGACTAAGTGTACCCCTCTGATAACTGTTAATAGAGTAGTCTAGACTGCGGACTAAGTGTACCCCTCTGATAACTGTTAATAGAGTAGTCTAGACTGCGGACTAAGTGTACCCCTCTGATAACTGTTAATAGAGTAGTCTAGACTGCGGACTTAGTGTACCCCTCTGATGAGTGTTAATAGAGTAGTCTAGACTGCGGACTTAGTGTACCCCTCTGATGAGTGTTAATAGAGTAGTCTAGACTGTGGACTTAGTGTACCCCTCTGATGAGTGTTAATAGAGTAGTCTAGACTGCGGACAAAGTGTACCCCTCTGATGAGTGTTAATAGAGTAGTCTAGACTGCGGACTTAGTGTACCCCTCTGATAACTGTTAATAGAGTAGTCTAGACTGTGGACTTAGTGTACCCCTCTGATGAGTGTTAATAGAGTAGTCTAGACTGCGGACAAAGTGTACCCCTCTGATAAGTGTTAATAGAGTAGTCTAGACTGTGGACTTAGTGTACCCCTCTGATGAGTGTTAATAGAGTAGTCTAGACTGCGGACTAAGTGTACCCTCTGATAAGTGTTAATAGAGTAGTCTAGACTGCGGACTTAGTGTACCCCTCTGATAAGTGTTAATAGAGTAGCCTAGACTGAGGACTAAGTGTACCCCTCTGATGAGTGTTAATAGAGTAGTCTAGACTGCGGACTAAGTGTACCCCTCTGATAACTGTTAATAGAGTAGTCTAGACTGCGGACTTAGTGTACCCCTCTGATAACTGTTAATAGAGTAGTCTAGACAGCGGACTAAGTGTACCCCTCTGATAACTGTTAATAGAGTAGTCTAGACTGCGGACTTAGTGTACCCCTCTGATAACTGTTAATAGAGTAGTCTAGACAGCGGACTAAGTGTACCCCTCTGATAACTGTTAATAGAGTAGTCTAGACTGCGGACTTAGTGTACCCCTCTGATGAGTGTTAATAGAGTAGTCTAGACTGCGGACTTAGTGTACCCCTCTGATGAGTGTTAATAGAGTAGTCTAGACTGTGGACTTAGTGTACCCCTCTGATGAGTGTTAATAGAGTAGTCTAGACTGCGGACAAAGTGTACCCTCTGATAAGTGTTAATAGAGTAGTCTAGACTGCGGACTTAGTGTACCCTCTGATGAGTGTTAATAGAGTAGTCTAGACTGTGGACTTAGTGTACCCCTCTGATGAGTGTTAATAGAGTAGTCTAGACTGCGGACAAAGTGTACCCCTGATGAAAGTGTTAATAGAGTAGTCTAGACTGCGGACTTAGTGTACCCCTCTGATAACTGTTAATAGAGTAGTCTAGACTGTGGACTTAGTGTACCCCTCTGATGAGTGTTAATAGAGTAGTCTAGACTGCGGACAAAGTGTACCCCTCTGATAACTGTTAATAGAGTAGTCTAGACTGTGGACTTAGT